ACGTGTACGAAAAGTGACGGCCATTGCTGCCCCCCCCTGCCGTTGCTATGCTTCTTATCCGTGGTACCCACTAATTATTTTATCAAGTCGTCTGTCTGGACAGACAGATATACACCTTATTTATGTATTGTGACTGTGTGCTGCTTATGAGTACACACGTGATGCTTGTACTTGTAAAGGCATGACGATGGAATTAAAAGTACGATCAAATGTAAAGAAGTTCAGTATACGCGATATCCACATTACAGCAACCTGATTTCACTTTACGATAAACGTGCTGCATTTATAAACGACATTTTGAGATCAAGATGCATAAAAAATATATTATATTTTTTGACTCGGTTGAGTTTCCACGTGTTGCTATAAATGATATAGGAACTTTTCGGGTATCTTTTTTTTTCTCATCCGGTGATAGTCACGGCCGTCTATCTGGGCGTTTTTTTTTCAATGGTCTCTTTTTTAAATCATTTTATCTCTCTCGCTCTCTCCACTATTTCCCTCGAGTGGTATCGCATGTCGCGGTTGATCCGGTGTTTTCAAAGTTGATAGACCCTTAGTGGTTTCATGATGCGACCGATACGATTTACAGGCGAGGAAACGAAGTAGACAAAGAATACAGAAAAAAAAAACGTACCGAGTAAATGACTAACAGCGCGCTAAAGATAGACATTTCCAATTATTGGAATCGGTAGCTAACTACAGAAGGGCGTAGATACACACTGTTAGACACTCTATCGACGTGTATTTTGCTATAAACACTGGGTGATTTTTCGAACGGTTTTCGGACAAGCTAAATTTAAGTCGGTCAGCTATTAAAGAAGATGACAAGGCTCTCTTTCTATGTGGACCTTATCGCGAGCTCGTAAACGCTCCTCGGTATTTCCTTTGCGCTTGAAAATGGCCGGCCTGCCGTTTCTCATGAACATTATCAACCGATTAATGTCGACCAACGTACTGCGCGAATGCTTTGTGATTAAAAGTAGAACAAAAAATACGTACGAACAAATCAGAATCAAAGAACCCGATAGACGTCGCTACGCTAAATCAAATAAGTCAAAAGCGTCTTTCATGCTTGGTCCAAGAATGAGACCCATTATGGTACCGGCCAGATTGCCTATAACTCAGCGAAATATGTAAAGGCAAAGAAACTCTATATAACACATATACTAGTTACCCGGACGTGCATGCATGATAACAATGTCCATGAATGAAATTTTTCGAAAAGATAAGCGACACGAAGCAAGGTTCTCTTGTAACATTGAAGAGGGATAGTGAAAAAAAAAGGTGTAAGTAAAAAGGATGATCCACAAAAAGCTCGTATAAACATCCTCGATGCTGTCCCACTGCTCTGAAATATGTATGAACGTAAACACACGTGAAAGCATATAAGCATAACTACATAACGTGGACGTATATAAACTGAGTCAAGGTACATGGTCGAGACTAAGAAAAAGTCGAGAAATAAAAAAAAAATAAAAAAAATTATTCTATATAATCATCAATGACGTCAAGGATCGTGAAGTAAAATTGGACTTTTTTATCTTTCGTATAGGTTAAACTAAAGCAACTTAGTTGTAAGCGTGCGTATTAAAGTATTCACGTGCGCTCGGGGAAGCGCGTACAGTTAATCTATGATTACAGGCTACGTGTATATATCAGGTATATATATATATACACATGTATACGAAAAGACGTAGTGGGTGGTGAAGTGTGGTGAGGCCACAGTTTGCGCATACGCATCTAGATGAATAGTATTGCGAGCGTGCAAAGTGGCGAGGCCAATCGATAAAACACGCGAATGTCAAGCTGCACGTGAAACGACCTATATAGGTATTAGCCACAGAGCGCCATTAGCCCATAGCCCTACGGGATAAAGGGCGCCGGAGGCTTTATTCTTGTGAGATAACGGCACGCTATATAAATATACACGGTATATCCCCTGGACATTATAGTGATGCAGAAGATTGGCCAGGAAGCGCGATTGGCGCCCATTCCTTCCTTGGCTTGACCACTGTCGTGTGTATATACACATTCCTTGCGATCCTACGTATATAGTTCAAATATATCTACGCTCGCTACTCCTAGAAATATAGATATGTTCATTAGAACGGATATGCGGAAACTGTGATAATTTTAATTCAGTTTCCTGCTGGCGGTAACACTTTGATGTGGTACGTTAAAAACCGTTGGTTTATGATACTGAGATATTTTTGTATCCTGTTATCTTCTTATACTTCACCCTGTGCTCGGTCAACGTGATTGCGGTTATCGTATCACAATGATATGGGGATTACGAGATAATTCAATGGATTGTATGGTGTGTGGGAGGGTATACTATTATTTGGAGCGAATGATGGATTTAAAGGAAGTCTTGCGGATTATACAATATAGTAATGGTAGACGATGAATATTCATCAAGGACGAGTACAAACCAATAGGTTATTTTCGAAAATGGTTCTACCCATTGCGGTGTATACGGTAGCATGATGCTTATGACAGATCCCCTTGGTCGGTAATCCCAGGAAAAATTAGGTTTAAGGTAATTTTGGGATAAGGGAAAAAAACAGTTTGAGAATTTATATGGGGAATCAAAGAGGGGAGTGTCGTTAATGATTTTTAAAATTGAAAGAAATTTTTCGCGGAATCTATATATGTATATAACTTTTTTTTCTTCAATAAAAATCAAATAATTTAATAGAGAATCTTTTTCGGTTCAATTTCGGCCAGTCGCCTTCCTTCTGAATGCATTGCTATATACGGCAGTTATGCGAGCTCCAGGAATATCGGCCTATAGCATAGATTTACCATCACATGTGTATAGTACACACGTGGTCGCAAATAGGCATACCCGTATTTCCAAAATTGAATGCATTCTGTAATTTCTGTACAGTAAACTATATTTCCAACAGTTATGCATTAATATTTAAGTATTCCCATACTGGTGTGTCATAATGCATAGATACATGTATCATGACATACATATATCAAGGGATAATGGGGTGTTTCCTCATCAGGATTGGTGTGAGGTCCAGGCTGTCCCTAGGGAACAGGACATTGTCCATTATTGTCCATTATTATGCTTTTTTATTGACAGATAAAGTCCCTCCTCCCCGCCCCTTCGACCCTCTGCTACACCCTCTAGAAATTCTACGTCACGAACAAGTTCAAGGCCAACGATAGAAAAAAGAAATCATATCACCCCAGACATAGGATGCGGCACTGATTGCACTTGCACGATACATGACATTTTAATGCCCCAAGTACTGGAACATGATGTTACAAATCTAGATATCCAGCCAACGTACAAAAGTACACGAACCTCTAGCCTGCATGCCACATACTATTATTTTTCATTCAATTATAAGAAAAAAAGAATCAATGCTCGACGTCAAAGCAAACCAGAAGTTAACCAATTGACTAAGAAAACAGACTCTAAAAACATCTACAAAGGAAACCCCTCGTACAAGAATCTCCATCAATAAACTATTAATGGCCAAACGATAACTCGTATATGTTCCCTTTCAAAGTTTACTTATCACAGCTATAAAAGTCCTAAGGAAAGTAACGATAATCCAAACAATACAAAATTTATACTAGCAACGTATCCATCCAATGAGTTTCAATTATGTATACACGGCAACCGGGATTTTCGACTTTCTATATATACCATATCCAAACAGTATACAGTCTTTATGAAATCTCTAAATACATAGGTAAGTATACATATATGGAAGTCCAAACACGATACATGTACGTGTATATTTAATAGGCTTCCCCATGGAGTCTGGTGTAATCAAACGTTTCCTCTTGGACGCTCGAACCTCTATCCTCTATCCTATCCGCCGTTAACTATTTCACGCAGGGACATCGTGCGCGATGTCGACAGGACATTGTTCATTATACTTTTTTAGTATAGCCCAATACAGCGCATAACAACAAGTTCGTCCGCGTGCGAAAGCATCGGTGTATATATTGTCCGAGTTGATGCTGACGTCTCAGGGGTGATTATTAAATAAATAATTTACAACACTCTTACGCGGGAGCATGCAAGTTGACAAGTTAATAAATAATACAGAGACTCCCCAGTTCGCATTCTATTTTCTACTCGGTATCCCTGTCACATATAGACCAAACATTTCGTCTAACTCCTGGAGTAGCAAGTAAATACAATTGCTCGCTTTGGCTAGGAACGCCTGCGGCCACGTGATACAAGAGTAACGACGATAACGGTTCCAAATGGAACTGACCAAGCGACACAATAAAAGTAACGCGCGAGTTAACGGTTCGCAATTTTAAGAAGAGTCCTCGAATCTTCATAGAGAATACCTAAGATCGGTTCGTGCTACAACATTTTAACCACCCGTCTGCATAGTGCAATAACGTATGTACAAGGCTGCAACGAACGCACGTCTACTCGTAAGACAGTATCGTTAGCTTAGTTTATAAATATTTCCTCATTAAACGTACGTTAATTAAGCGAAAGACTGCTCGGTTACTAAGAATTAATTTTGATCTTCTTAGGAAGAAATCGACAAAAAGATGTACATACATTGCACAAGGTATGTCACGAGTGTACAGAAAAACATGTTGAAGAGTTGGTACATAATACCAGCCGGTTAGAGACATCTATAGGTATAAATGCGTGCCAGCCTGAATCTACGTAACCTACTCGACTACGTAACACGCAGGTCTGAACAAAAACACGACTCGCTGCTGCTACTGATAAGGCAAATGCGACGTGTCACTCGCGAATCGGTTTTATCGGCCAATTAAAAAGTAAGCCAGTGCATACCTTGACTCGAGCACTCGGTTTTGAAGATTCGCAAATTACAGTCTATCCACGAGTCAAATTCAAAGACTCGAGAACTCTTTTATATGGAAACCCGTAATAGGACGGACCTTCCAAAACGTACGTTACTCGTGGATAGACTATATGACCGAAATGCATCCACGTGGCATAACGCAAGCACCTATTGCACAACAAGGACATCTGGACTCACCTAGTGGAATGATCAACGAACGAACCGCCGTCGAGTAAACGAAGTTTTGCGAATAATACAGCGCTCACGAAAGGCACGGCGGTTAGTTCCTCGAGACCGACCTCCACGGAGAATTTGTACTTCTTCTTCTTCATCATGAAGGCCATCTCAGGTAGCCCCGGGCACTTCACTTTGACGAGCTTCGGTCTTGGGAGCTTCTTTAAGGCCCTTCGGAATTTCACAAAAAATTTTTTGTCTTGCTCTAACCCTCCTTTTGTTTATCCCCCGACACACTGTTAACACACTTACCCCACTGACACTAGAATTATAGTTAAAACCAGCTCGTTGTTTACTAGCGGACTAGTTTAATTTACTCTTCTTTTTTACAGCCTCTTCCGTATCTTCGTTCACGGCATGACGATCAATTTCATTGGTTTCCACTATCCAATTATTTTTGGATTTCTTCTTGCCGAATGCTATTATCAAGTCAATGATGATTATGATGATTACCCGGTTTATGAACTTTGAACTTCTAGAGGATGAGGAAGATCCTGACGAGGTGTGGTCGGCATACTGCTTCTAGGAACGTTCTGCGAATTCTTCTTTTAATGGCCATTTTTGATTGTGGACTCCTGCCTTTTATGATACACCATCGTTAGCTGGTTTACGCTGAAACAGTTAATTCGGTAATTAGACTAATAATCGTGAAATATAATAGGTTCAGTGTTATTATTATCCGACTGAAATGTTTTATACATCTTGTAGATAAAAAAGTAAAGTAGTTTTTATATATTTTAGTCTCTTCTGAAAATAATTATAAAGGTACGATATTTGCTTGAATTGAGTATATTGTTATGCCGTCATGAGTTCTTTAGGATCACAAATAAATAGTTGCACTGATTTGGAATTATATAGAGAACTATTATAGTTTATTGAAGTTGGTATAATGTAAATACTAAGGTAACACAAAGATTTAATAGGAGTAGGCACGATGATACTAATTATTCACAACTATGAATACGCTCCAGGACTTCGCTCTTAGCTAGGAACTTTGCGAGTGACCGCTGTGGCTCACAAGGTGGCTCTCCGCTTTAATCTTAACGCCTTATGCATAGTTTATGCCTCACGATAGGATTCGTCGTATAGTTAATCTCCAGACGCAAAGTCAGCATTAGACGAATGCTGACCCTATGCATTAGGGTCCGGGAAGCTAGCCCCCCAAAATTCGATAATTTCGGTTCCATTGTTTGTTCTGAGTTGTTCTATGTTTGTACTATATTGTTCCAGAAAAACAAGTTTCTCAATTAAAATTTGTAGTGGTGAGGCGAAAGAACAGTTTTTTACCGGAACCCCCCACTTATGGAAAATCAAACTTTTTTTAGTTGTTCCAGGTTGTTCTAGGTTGTCTCAGGTTATTCTAGGTGTTTGTAGATTTTTCCAGGTTGTTCGAGGTTGTTCGAAGTTAGCCCCCCATAATTCGAAAATTCCGGTTTCGTTGTTTGTTCTGACTTGTTCTATGTTGGTTCTATATTGTTCCAGAAAAACAAGTTTCTCAATTAAAATTTGTAGTGGTGAGGCGAAAGAACAGTTTTTTACCGGAACCCCCCACTTATGGAAAATCAAACTTTTTTTAGTTGTTCCAGGTTGTTCTAGGTTGTCTCAGGTTATTCTAGTAAAACCAGGGAAACACTGGAAAAGCGGAGGAGGACGAACGCTCTGAGAATAGCATGTAGATATAGGACCATTTCGAATGATTTCCAGGTTGTTCCAGCTTGTTGTAGGTTTTTCTAGGTTGTTTTAGGTTTTTCTAGGTTTTTCTAGGTTTTCCTAGGTTCTGGGTCTATCGATGATTGTTCTAGATTTGTATAGCGATCGGATAATAGAAACTAACTTAGAACAAGGTAGAACAACATTCGAAATCGGAACTATACAATGTAGAACGATTTTATATGTAAAAAACCTTTTTTTTTTGATCCCATTCGAGTATTCTTCACTTAGCGGTAGTAATATTTTGGAACAGTATTTAGAACAACTAGAACAACCTGGAACGACAAAAAAAAGTTTGATTTTCCATAAATGGGGGGTTTCGGTAAAAAAAAACTGTTTTTTTCGTCTCACCGTTACAAATTTCAATTGAGAAACTTGTTTTTCTGGAACAATATAGTACAAACATAGAACAACTCAGAACAAACAATGGAACCGAAATTATCGAATTTTGGGGGGCTAGCTTCCCGGACCCTAATGCATAGGGTCAGCATTCGTCTAATGCTGACTTTGCGTCTGGAGATTAACTATACGACGAATCCTATCGTGAGGCATAACAATATACAAAATTATAGAAAGTGTATCCTTTTGTTCCGTATCATGTCAAGTAATCTGACGTCTTGCGTCTTAATAAACGAATAAACTGTTTCCAGGTGTCAATATTTCAAAAAGTGTTAACAAAGCAGCGTTAGTACTGAACGTCTCCTTATTAAATTAGTATCCAAGGAGATTAGGATGTGCTTAAAATTCAAAGATTTCAAATAAAACCCATTTTAAATAATCGTAACTCCGAATGTCAAATTGATTGGACAGAAAACGACAAATTTGTTATTAACCTTATTATATCGAATCTTGAATGAAAAACTAACGAAAACAATTGGACAGGAACAAATTTCGATTTAAGTACCAACGATCAGAAACTAACGAAGGAATGTATTGATTAAGACGACTGGGGAGTTACTTTCTAACCTCAAAGTGGACTATCGTAATTTATAAGAATATAATAAATTCTCGTGCGAACGTAGTGCACACAGAAGTTTGCAAGCAGTATTGTTATTTCTATAATACTTTTACGCAGAATAATTGCGAAATGAAAGAATGAGACGCATGTAATGTTTTGAGGTGACAAATATTAATACTAAAATTTTACAAGGGTCTCGTTCCGTTATTTAGCAAATATTCCTTAAGAAAGTGGCATATCGGTAACCGTGGAACTTGGACAAATCTGCGTGCACTCGTGTTCGATAAAAAAGATCCATTTATTCAGTGTAATTTGCGATTTTCGCAATTGTAAATTCAAGATAGACGTTTGCATTCTCCAATCGAGTTACATAGATGTAATGAATTTCAAAATCTTCTGGTCATTTTTAAATTCAAAGTTGGTATAGAACTTCTAAACGTACCCAATAAATCATCCATTTTACACTAATAAATCATACAAAAGACTGATAAGGTTCTAAGCGCGTGATAACACTTTCCCCTGAACACTGAAAATCTCGCATACTACGAGACTTCAAAAGACGTTTTCAAAATCGGTGAGGGCAAATAAAAATTTGTTTTTTAATTATTAACAAATTGAAATCCTTACAAACCAAGTGTATATAAAACGTAGATATCCAACTTTAGTCTATCCACGGGTACAGGTTGATATTCAGGGGACACTGGTATATTGAAAATCATGAGGAAATGGCCCCTCGAAAAAAAATGTAATAGGTAGACATACTTCACACAGTGAAATTAGCAATTTAGATAATTATTGCACATCAATTAGTCATATGAAGGCAGCGTTAGTACTGTACCGTCTTTTATTCCACTACTAATGGAACATCCTGAACGCTTATAAACGATAAGAGTTCTAGAAGGTGTATGGAAGATGGTCGCAATTATTTACACAGTACAATAAGAAAAACGTAAATGTACATTAAAGACTTGATAATGGCAATTGTACAAATCGATAGGAACCGTACTTGCAAACAATTAATCATAATACGTATATACGTAGAATAACAAATAATGGAGGTGCGAGAATGTCTCGTACGCATTTATTGTTTTCATTTACTTTTTTTTTTTCTTTTTTCTTCAATGCCATAAAACTACTTTCTCGTACATTAGGAGCAATCACCGTGTCAGAACTAGATTATACTGACCCGAGGTTAAGTTAGTCGAATGGTTTATATTATTATTGGCTGCCGTGTGATAGTTTTTCAGATGTAAATTCTCACTCGCAGGAAAACGCAGTATTTAGAACAATTAGTAAGGAACGTCACTCACGTTAGACTGTATACACTAATAGCGGCAGTCATTGTATATTCTTGAACGATGGCGATAACACAAATAAAAAGTTAATTAACAGGTTGCCAATGGTTGTAAGAAAAACAGAGAAGGAAAAACACATTTAATATGATGCTGATCATTATTACCGGTTGTTCAATATGATTACATTATTGTTTACGATCGAAAATACAATTGTCATTCGGTAAGCCGAATAATGTTGCACCAAACGATAAACCAACATTCATTACGTATGTACAATTTTCATAATATCCTCGGGAAGAAAATGGATGCACCGTTCAAGCGTAGATGAAATATCCACGTGCAAGAATTCAGTGAAAATTAAACGCGAAAGGCAGAGCAGGAGAAAGAAAGAAAGGCACTGCCAAGAGAAATGGACTTTCAGAACTGGAGAAAACTGGGAAACAGCTGTCCCGTGATGGCAGGTGCAGTCAGAGAAGTGAGCCATAGATTTTATAACCTAACAACGAGCCGCTAACGTTTGTCAATATGTAGAATGCCTGCAGCAAAGGAATTAGAGACTAAATGAATAAATCCCAGAGTGAGCAATTTATGAGTAAAGACAAAGAAAATTTTGTTCTCGGGAAAGAGAAGATCTGTGAGAATCTTTAGGTAATACTTGAGCAAAGAAGGTGCTGTTAGTGATATCGAATTTCGGATGCTCTATATCTCTGTGAATCTTGACTTGGTGTCCTCAGTAACACGGACATAGAAATGAGTACGTATGCAGTCACATTAACATTCTATCCTCCGCAAAGAAGTCCCACTGGAGATAGAAGTAGCAGTAACAACAGGAAAGAGTAAAGCAGCACAGAACGGTTGTAAGCAGTGACAAAAAATTTCTAGCTCACCCGTACGAAATCTTGTGAAAATTATCTTTAGTGTACGTATATTGAGATCCTGTGCCTTTAGCCACATTCGCACTTTCTTGCATTTAACATAATTCGCGAGTTTCACGTAAAAAGTGTTCCCGGAACGCGACGCGAATTTGTCTCGCGTTATAAGCAGGTACGAAGTCGTCGAATACGTAGCGCTCGAAGAACGGCTGAGAACTGACGCGTCTTCGTTTTTCGTCTTGACTGTCGACGCGACTGCCATCTGTAGTACGCCTCTGGAAACTGCACATAAAGGCGGATTCCAAACGAACTCACTTTTAAATTTTCCTCGACGTTTCATGAATATCCACTTAAAGTATATGTAGACAGCGTTTTTGGAAATTACAATACTTTATGCAGATACATCTTTGGGAAATCCAAGAGAAATGTATTTCGAGGATATGCAATGAGGAGATTTGCAATTTTCATCCTGTTAATTGAAAAAATAATGGTGCTACGATTTGTCAGAATATGTTGCTTTGTATTTGCCGCTTTTTTAGGCACCGAGAGAGCTATACTCAATTTCCGGAATCTTAGTGACCAAATGGCTGATGGTGCGGTCGTTTCTGTCAGTGTCCTACGTGTTCTATCCGCAGAAAACATGTAAATAGTTATTTAGGATCGAGTAAGTGAGCCGCCGTGCCATCAAACGAAACCTGATATTCTCGTAAGATATTTAAGGGTGCGGTTCATTGATGTACGCGAACCACGCAATCCGTCGGAAATGTCCTCGAGGTTTGTCTGGTATTAAGAGAGCACTATTAATTTTGACGTTCGACGAGGTTTCTTCACGCAGAATCGGCACATAGGGAGCCAAGAGAATCGTCGCCACGCGGGTATGACTGCGTTAGAATGAGAATCAAATGATCTGACAAGACTTCGAGCCATTTACAACATTCTGGTGAGACTAGATCCCTGTGAAATATCAAAACATATTCGAGTGTTTCGAATTATTTAAGCTCTTGTCTTTTATCTTTATTTCTTTGTGCAAATGCACTCATTACATTGCGAAATCTCTACTTGCTTGAAACATTCCTTGAACTTTATCAATTACCATTATATGCTCGTGTTTGTCACCGATAAGATTTTTATCAGATTGTTTTCGATCAATATCAATATTTATAACAAAGCCTATATCCACTTCTTCTTGGCGGTGTGATTTTTCCAATACGATTCTCTTCCAAGATTATTTTCCTTCTCATAATTTATATGCTTAAGTAATACAAAACTGTCTGATTAAAATTTCTTAGCTCCTAATATTCTAACCACATTTCTTTATTTATCTTTCTGATAATTATTATGGTTTACATAGTTTTCGCCGGATATCCGATATATCTCAACTGGATAATTTAAACTTTAACAAACTCAAATCTTTTATCGCAAAAATGCATGGATCTCATGTTTTCGTCTGATTAAAGTAGTCTGACCTAATATATATACATATATATTATCCGTAGTGACATAAAAATAAAATCATAACAAAACATTCCGTATTCTTTCAGTGTTCTGTTAATTACTCATAAAAAATACTCCCACATCGACAATGTGTCATAAAATTGTTAAAGAGAAACAGCCCCCTGTTTGTTTCTTTTTATTTTTCTGTCCGCAATTATAGCTATATGTATGTATTGTTATTCGTATTAAAAGCGATACAAAACAGCCATCTAATACGTTTCACGATCACGTGTCGATTGACAATGCTCCATTATTATATGTATATCGTATGCTTTTCTTCCTACATATTGTTGCGATTTGCCATTATTTCATCCTCAAGTTGCGTTGCCATAAAACTATACGTCCGATAAATGCGTCATTGCAAGATGCACCATTCGTCATTCCTTAGGATTCGTGTTTTCTTTGTCGACGCAATAATGCAACTCAACAGTACACAATGTAGGTGCAATGCAATAATGCGTGGGTTCAATGACAATAAACTTTGCAGGCTTAGTTATGGAGGATAGCATGAGCGTCAAGTCTATGGAATCAGTGGCGACCAGCGACGAGTATGAATTCGTAAGCGAAAAAGGAACAAGTAAACAACAACAGACATTGCCGGAGCCGCCGACATTAAAAATTGCCAACAACGGAAATTTAGAGGATTTACAAAATAATCTTCGCGAGGTAACTCATTCCCTTAGGATTCAGTTTAAATAACTAGGACTTATTAATTGTTACGTTACTTTTTATTATTTTGTGTGGAATGGGAGATGAATTGCTTAGGTGATAAGAATTATCGCTACATCTAATACTTGTTATAGGCCGTCTTAATTGTTTTAGTGAACAACTTTGACCATGCGTTTTTTCTTTATCGGATAATTTTATCACATTCCAAAGTTCATTTGAATTTAATAATCCACGTGATTGATCATAATTCGAAATGAAATACTAATTTCAGGTACTGACGGAAGATTCGAAGATGGAGGCCAGCGAGGTTAAATTAATAAGCAGCAGTCAATCACATCAAAAAGTAAAGAAAGTTGGTCAGAGTCAGTTTTATGAAGTGACACCATTCGCGATAACTCCAGAAAAGCAGGACGTTATGAAGCCGGATGATTACACGGAGGAAGGTATTACAAAAAAGAACAAATTGAAACTGAGCAAAGGAGATACTTACTGTTCGGAAATTTCAAATTTACTTGATAATTCAAAATGAAAACTCTGTTGTAGAAATGACTGCGATATCGGACATGCAGCAAGAATGCACTGTATTTAATGGCGTAACTTATCTTGGTGCAGCTGCAATAAATGCACCGAAGTCGGAATGCGAAATACAGCGGAATATGAATATCCTAAATGCTGAACAGACTCAAAATCTTGGAATAAAAGTATCAGTTTCTGTTCCAAGTAGTTCACAGGGCTGCGTGGTGTGAGTAAATTTGAAAAGGAAAACATTTTTGAGACTGATAAATATATCGAAATTCATATTATATATATAAAATTGCAGGCTCTATGATGCCGCTACACAGCAAGCTATTGCGCATTATGAAGTGCAGCGTATTTTATTTTATGCTCGTGGTGAAAATAACGGACCCTGTGCAGCGTGTTTTGCGTTCACGTGGTCTCACGGTGATACTTTGGAATCCGCCATATTTCAGTGTCACGTTTTCCGGTGTAATATCCCTGAAGCTGTAAGTTGATACTTCTTTTGTTTCAGTTGATCAATAACTTGTTGAGTAAATTATTCAAATGAAATATTTAATATTTATATTAGGTCGGGCAAGTGTCGGCATGCTTTGCAAAAGCTTTCCAGAGGATTCCTAGATCTATGACAAATTCTTTGACTGGAAGTGACTTCAACGGTTTTAATGCCGGTAGCGAGAAAGCCAATTCACGTGTATTCATTTTTGAAGTTTCCATGGAAATCAAGGAAGAGGACGGCAAGGGTGGCTTCAGCACTGTTCCCAAGGACAGAAATTGCTTTAAATTTCGTTGTAACGTAACAAAGCAGGTGTGTCTAAGTATTCAGCAAGTGTCCAGTAAGGAAGGTGGTGTCGCTCTTGAGGTAGAAAGATGCTTTGGCGTTCTTGTCAGCCCAGGAAGAAACGTCAAACACAGTGATATGAGATTGCTGGAAATGGTAAAGACTCTTATAAAGTTTTATAATCTTTTGATTTGTATAAATGCAAGATTAATATTTAATTTCAGGAAGTAAGTACAGGACCAATAGCCCAGGAAAAACAGTGCTACAATATATGTGGTCGGTGGGATCCTGCAGATCCTGCTTTAGAAAGTCTCAATTTGGAAACAACGAGAGAGGGGAAAATATTTATGACAGTAGCAGTGGATTTGGTTATACGTGGAATTCGCGATCCAGTGAGATTTGTCATAGAGACGCCCGTTAAGATATTCCCACAAAACGAAAGATTTTGGTACTTCAATAAGAGAAATCTTGTGCAACAATTCTATCTAAATTCAAAAGAGGTCAGTGTGCATCTACAATGCGTATCCCTGATACTAATTTCATGAATACTAATTGTATATTTGCACAGATTATATCTGGGGACGGTGCAGATATTCATTATGAAGTTCAAAGCATAGAGACATCTGGCGAGTTAGATAGGAACAGATTGAATCTTGCTTTGAATTTGGCGTCTCTAATAAGATCCCCGTCTCTTACTAGTATCGACACTCTTACTCCTAAAGAAGAAATAGATTCTGGTAAAATATCATATATAGATTTTAAATAATTTTAACATAAACGTCATAGGATTAATTTTACATTGATTCTCCTCTTTTCAGATGGTGATGAACCTATGTTGAGCGGAACTGGTGAAGTATCTAAGGATTGCTCTGCCGACGAATTGGCTAGTTGGGCAGAAGTTCTCGACAGTTGGCACGTGAACGAACAGCGTCCAAAGTTACTGACAAAATTAACTAAACTAGGAATTCCTGAAGCACTGCGCGGGGAAGTCTGGCAGCGTTTAAGCAATTGCGACAACTCACTTGAAATGATGAATAAATATCGAACTCTAATTACTAAGGTAAGCAAGTCATTAATAACGATTTGCAATATAACATGTTTATTGGAAAAATACTTTTTTAATAGGAAAGCAACTGCGAGAGTGTTATTCTGAGAGACATCAATAGGACTTTTCCAGCGCATGATTTTTTTAAGGAAACTGGTGGTCTCGGTCAGGATTCCTTATATAGAATAAGCAAAGCGTATGCTGTTCACGATGAAGAGGTCGGATACTGTCAAGGGCTCAGTTTTTTAGTTGCCAGTCTATTGCTACACGTAAGAAATTTCGAATCTTAAAAATACAAATATCTCATAATCCAGACTGACAAAAATAAATGATATTTGTGTACAGATGCCAGAGGAACAGTCTTTCTGTGTCCTAGTGAAACTCATGTATGATTATGGCCTTCGGGATTTGTACAAAGACCGATTTGACAATCTTCATATGCGTTTTTACCAATTAAATCGATTAATGGAGGTACGTTATTACGAAATTGCTTAGTTTTAAAAAATAAACGGTTTTTATTTAATATCATAAAATTTTAGGACCAACTTCCAGAACTCTACAAACATTTTTGTGATCGTGGAGTAGAGACGCATATGTTCGCCGCACAATGGTTTCTTACGTTATTTACTGCCAGATTTCCTTTATTTCTGGTATTCCATATTTTAGACGTATTTCTACTCCAAGGGCTTGATACGCTATTCCAAATTGCTTTGGCATTGCTAATGGTAAGAAGTAAAATTATCTAAATGTGGAAAAAAGTAATACCCATTACGGTCAAATAAATTAAATTCATATATTTTTCAGCTATGTAAGAAGGAACTACTTCAATTGGATTTTGAAAGTATATTGAAATATTTTCGTGTCCACTTACCAAAGCGTTGTCGCAACGAGGAAATCTCTCGTTACGTGATGAAGCTTGCCTGTTCAGTTACGCTGAAGAAATTGAAGAAATACGAAGCAGAATTCATGGCGCTAAAAGGTAACTTCATCTTCTACGTTTGACGCTTGGTATCTCCTCGTCGTTCCTAAAATCCCATGTATCCTTCATCCGCGTGCGTTTTAATCTGTAAAAAGACTTAAGAATAACTACATGCAGTTCCGTACTAAAATGAAAAATATTTAGAATAGTCATCACTGAAAATACGTAAAAGTCATTTTTTATTTACGACGGCTGTGAAAGTTCACGAATACTTTTGATATTTAAACTTTAGAGGACGAGTGGATTTTTTTAACATCTACAATTTTTGACTTGGAATCTTAATATGCACGCTAAATTCATACTGTATAAAGAAGATGAGGCTACAAGACTGACTGCCCGCCCGTCTTCTAAAGGTTAAAAAACTTTAAAAGTTGAAGTATACTTTTGATATTTTTATACTCAAGACTCCTTTGGCTTTAATGGATTAATTAATCTTATTATTAATGACCAACTGAAAAAAAAACCAAAAGCGTTTCGCAAACAATTTTTGGCTTTGTAGTAAAGTCGTGTAGTACTTAGTCTAAGAATTTAGTATCTTCCTATTCTCCACTTTCCTTTATTGGGGAACTTCGCGAAAAGTATCGATGATTGCCCGTAGTCATTATTGTTAAGATCTTATATAAACACCTTTCGTTTATTTAAACAAATAACATTAGAAAGGGCACTCATCGATTCTTAGTATCGTCTCGTAAAAGTAACTACTGTAGTAAGCTTAATCCCTCTGGTAGAATTAGTATGCATGTCTCGTACCATTGCAACGCTTCTTTAGAATTGTAAGAATAATAAAAAAGGACAATCTAGTCTCTAGACGTAAATAAAAATTAATTTCACATATATGTCTGAGTTCACCAATGTAAATCAGATAAAAGAAAAAGAATCTGATTTCATCCTTGCTACGGCACAAAGTTACAGTTTAATCAAAACCCGATGGTGATGGACACGTCTGCTGGTGGATTCGTAATCTCGTTGGTTGCCTTACGTGAAAAGGAATGCTTTTACGAAATAATTCGTGGTACATTTGTTATTTTTTTCTCTTCTTAGAGAACGAAAACTCTTTTGCAGAGCAAGGTTCAACGAACAGCGCCGGATATTCCTCCTGGAGCACAGGAGATATCGTCCGTATGCCGTTAGATAAAATTGAGAAATACGGCAGTCAATTAAGTAATTACATTAATCAAAGATTCAGTGGATATGATTTTCCAATGTGGAATTTCGAAATGGCCAATTCATTCTGACCAGAACTCATTTCTCTCGAATTTACCTCATGAAAGCATTTACCTACCATTCCCGCGTATAACGTATTGACAAACGTATGTTGTAACAATGTCCATCATTTCATATGAAAACATATATATTCATAAAAGCGCGCGAACATTCGAATTGTAGGAAAAAAAAAAGTTAAACCGTAAAACTCAACGTCAAACGATACTTGTACCTTTTTTTAATTTATAATTTATTTATTATTATTTGTTGAAATAAAGCAGTCCTTTCTTTTCATACGTCTCTTTGTAGTTTTATCAATTGCACCCGTTCTTTTTCTCTTTTACTTCGTACTGTCATTCCTCCATGTTCCATCATCCTCCTGCGTATCCTGTGGCTTTGGAATGTACATTTCATTTTGCATCATGGGGAATGTAAAGTGCATGATAAGTGTTATCAATGGATGAAGAAATTTCATTGATTGACCTCTACAGGATGAACTAACTCACTAATAGTAATTGAGTACTGCAAAGAAAAAAAATTAACTATCATTGGTTACGCATTCATTAAAAAATTGCGTCAGACGCTGTAACGTTTACAGCCATTACGAATCGTTTCACGTCACTAAACGGGTACAAGGAAGTCGTCATTACTCAAAGTCTTAACAACATTGTACATACAATGGATAAGGCATCCTTGTAATCTACGCGAAATTTAAACATGCCAAATGCATTTAATTCTGTACTCGTAATGACGCGCATTCAGTTATGTTTTTGAACTCGGTGATATCCTCTTTCTTTACCTGCGGTGGATATAATTTCTGCAGATATTCACGTCAAAGAAAACATTTCTGTCACCTACTATCAAGAAGATACTTCACGTATGACAATGCATGCGGTATCCGTTTGAAAAGGTGTATAATTTCAAAAATCCGCAGTAAGTTGATCCAATAGCTGTTTTCTTTTATTTTAAATTCACATCAAGTAACCGCTTCGATAATTTTTTTTATCTTACTTGTTGCGTGATCCTCTTTTCACCAACCATGCGAACGCGATCAATTCCTATTACGAAATGATCCTTACGAGTTCGGTGAAAGTAAAATAGAACGAGATTCAATAATGATTTGCTCTTTTCCATTATATGAATAACGTCGAGTAGATTCTCACTTTATGCGAAATCTGAACTTTGTTGTTGTTCCACGTGCAACGGGATACCGAGAAGGTATCTATCGCCTGCAACAACAGCAGTTTAAAACGAGCCGATATTCTCTTTCGCAATAGTGTAAATACACTGTGCGCCTTGACAGTGTACCAAACGCTCGATTAGTATCACTTGGAACGTATTACGATACGTACGCGACACGTATCCCGGACATGAGTTCGATTTACGTACTGAGAATAGCTAGAAAGAGTAAGAGATTGTCATTGGTATTATAACGTATATAATTATAATAGAGACACAAAGTCCAAGTTTCAGTTGAAATAGAAAAGAAATATTTAATTTGTATGCATGTACCAGATGCGACATTAAAATTAAAAATAAATATATTTTTACTGTATTCCCTGTTGCTATAGTGAAAGCGAATAATTACCATGTGTAACCTCACGTTTTTATCGTTACTCGATTAGATTTATAATTAGGAGAACAATGATTGTAAACGTATGTGACCAAAAAATATGAAACAGTTGAATGTGCAGAGACTAAATGTGGCACGTGAATAATTGCAGAAGCTCAGGAAGATGCCGACGAGTACAGCAACGAGGTGGAGCAACTTCGTGGCGCGGTCACGAGGAACGAAGAGGAGAAACAACGGCTGGAGGCTGAATTGAGTCAAGTTAAGGAAATGCTACAACGTGAAGTAGCTAGTGCAGATGCTAACAATCGGCGTAGCGCAGTGATAATAGCAGAATATAAACAGGTAATTGTTTATGCATCGTTTGATAAACAAACAGACCTTCGCCGTGTTAAATGTATCTAATTACTGATGACGAATGAATTTTAGATTTGTCAACGCCTGGAGGATGATTACAATGCGGCCAAGAATACGCTGAGTGACCTCCGAGTGAGTCGATATAAAAATTATACAAGTATGGAAAGTCAATTAATACATTTTTAATATTAAACTTCTCTGTAACTAGAGTAAGGTATCAAAATGTGACAAGTGCAGAAGTTCCATTACGGAATCAGCAAGCGTATTGGCAGATATATCACATCCACTGGAGAATCGAATAGATCCTATGTTACACCGAGCCCAGGAGAGGGTACGAGAATTGGAATTGGAATTGGCCCAGACAAAATTAATGCACGTGGAAGCTGAGTGTAGAAATCAGGTAGAATAACAATTGTTGTTCGTGCAATTTAATTACGTTCGTTTAGAACAATTCCTACTTCTGTTCATATCAATTTGCATTTAGGACTTGACTCATCAACTCCATGCGACTGCATCGGAGCTTCAAGCAGCTCGCAACAGCTGGCCCTGGTTAAGCAAAACGTTATCCAGTATAAAAGAGGCTGCTAACAAGAGGGAAGTTATGGGAGGTAACGTAGTGCGCCGTGACAGTGCACCAGGAGGTGATATGCATCATCATGCGATACATTCTCAGAGTCGAGACAGTCTTAAGGAAGTGGTGTGATGCCGTAATTACTCCTAGAGTAGTACAGGAACAGAGAAAGAGAGAGAGAGAGAGAGAGAGAGCAAAAGAAACACAAAGGTAAACAGAGCAAAAAAAGTAATAAAAAAAAGAAGAGTAAATAACCAAGAATGTTAGAACAAGAGGGTAGTAATGAAGAAGATACACTTGGTACCGGACGCTGAGTATTTTGAGAACAAGAAATAAAAGAAAACTATTGCACGTGTGACTTTTCGTGTCTTCTGTGTGTACTCCAATATGAGCGTTTGCAGGTGTATCCATGAATGAGTGTGTTGGAATACTCAGTGGCTGGTAGCGGAATCGTATATAACGAGTACATGTTTATAGCTGCATGTAATAATGCCGTCCTGACGTACAAGTAGCAATAATGAAGTAAAAATGACGGCCGAGCACGTGTACGTCAGTTTAGGCAGAGAAAACTTTGGTGATCGCTTACGACTCAATCTCATGGCGAATAAGAGTCAGAGCGGCTACACTTTATACGTTCTCTATTGATATTATTCGAAAGACATTATCGTTAGTCACTTTGTTACGTTTTACAATTATATTTCTTTTGTATCTAATACGAGACACGCGTATATGACTGTAAACTGTAATTGCACCGTGCGGCTATATTTAAGTATGATTTAAGAGTCTCGGGGGACAATGGGAAAAAAGATACGTTCTCTTTTCTTGTGGAACGAACGTCTTATTTTTTTTTTTTGTGCACTCTTGGGAGTATATTTGAAACTGTTGAGTAATATTTCTAGGATAAAACCTGGATACTATTTCTTTTTTCTCATTTACTTTCCTTCTGGCGGAACTAGTCTGACGACGGTGACGTCGAATTTAATATGGACGTAACGAGCATGCGTTTGAATTCCCTTTGTAGGATATAAGACAGATTTATTTAATTGTTCTTATACTTCTTTTTATCATATATACATATATATGATTCTTTTGTATCTTTTTTTGACACTTCACGATAGGCCTCTTGCATTGTAAATTTGTTTCTTCATTCCTCTTACGATACAGTTTTCACGACAAGTCTGTCTTTGTTTTCCAATCGCTCTCGATCGTATGATAAAGAAAATTATTTTGCACGATTCATGTGTAATAAATAAATATTGATTTGTAACGATTACACTCTCCCTCACCGTGCTTTATATTATTTCCAATAATGCTTTGTTTTGTACAATGTTTCCTATCTTTGGGCCGTGTTCGACTAAATGTTCTCTATACAACAATATTAGAGCCGTGCCATTCCAAGAATAAATCAAACAATTACACAATCAAACGTGCCATTACTTAGTAGGAACAGATGATGAAAATATTCAAATGTAAATTGCAAAATCTTCATACGAACCGAATCGTCGTCCTCCGCGTATATTGTTCTTGCAGAGCTTCTCTTTTATTAGTTCGACCATTTATAAAAGTAAGATTATCCCACGTGCGTTGAACACTTTTCACCGCTATATTTAAATAAAAAAAAAATAAATATTCCGTTTTTTTGTTTTTGCGATAGCTACCATTATGTATAAAATATAATAATGATAGCACTGTAATCGAGCCGATACCATAGCCATTATAAATATTCGTATATCAAAAAAAAAGAAAAAGAGACAGAGTGTGTGGGCGTATGAGTATGTATGAATGAAAATAGAGGAAAGACAGAGAAAGAGGTAAAGGACCAGAAGGGATGAAGATAGCAGGAAAATTGCGTGACTTCAATAAATAAACATGTAAAATCGATATGATTAAGAATAATCAATATTGGCAAAAAAGGGAAAACTGTCAACTTTCTGTATATAGAGTGAATAAGAGATTAAGTGGGAGTTTCAATGTACACACGAAACGAAGTAAAATATATAAAACTTGAAATCGAACGGAAAAAGAAAGAAAAAGAGAGGCAAAGGGAAGCTGATTAGGAGGCTCATCAATTAAGGATGATTTCCATGACGTTAAATAATATGCTAAAACTAATCAATCGTGTAAAGATTTAGAATAACCGCCTGTAAGGATAAAGAAAAAAAAAAGTAATTGAGAGGAGGAAAACAAAAACCGGAAGTAATAACGAAAAAAATTAATTGTGACATTGTACGTCCTGTAATTTCATTCCATTATTACTGAAATAAAGAAAAGTACCAAATGTTGCCTATGAGTCAATATATATTATAATTTGTTTCATCATTTTCAGCCTCTCTACGTTATTTGTCGTTTTATTTATTAATCGTTATTTGTCATCATGGGTTTTTATCATTGTTTTGTCTCTAGCTTACGTAACTCATATTTTTATTGTTAATATTATTGTTGTTGTTATTACTATCCTCTTTTACGATTAATCGTACATTCGCTAATAGAACGATATGCAGTATCAGTCTTACGATAGAAGGTAAATTTTCTTTTAATCCGTTACCAATCTAGAAAACATTAGTCAAAACTTTCAATAATCTCAAGCACAACCCGCACGCGTTTAAAAATAAACAAATAGAAAATAAAAACATAGAGAGCAAATATATTTTGTATCGAATCGTAACAAATTCATAAACTCTAACAAGTATCCACTTTGCCGTGGAAAAATAATAGAGTGAAAAAAAGTATGCGAATTAATGAAACGTATATAATATATATACATATATATCTTCACGCAGATAAAAACTAGAAGTGCGCAATTGCACGCAGAGGAAAACTAGCGGTATAGAAAAAATGGATCCATGATCGTACGAAAATATATTGTATCGAACGAGCGACTTTGTCATCTTTGGAATATTTTTAGTTTGTCTTTCTTTTCGCTCTTTTTTTCCGGCTCGCCGTAGACGCACGCAAATAGTTTGATATGTCTTATGTGCTGTTCTTAATTATACGTTTAAAGAATACAAAAAAAAGAGACTAATAAGTAACATGTCAGTAACGGCTAATTTTCCATTTTTTTGGAAGAACATTCGTACGCAGTTAGACAAAGATTTCTCCGGAAGCTCGCTAAACGAAGGCAAGATCTTTTCTATGGATAACGATTAATTATTTATTACTGTAAACGATTAATCGTTATTATCGTTAATATAATTAATCGTTATCCAAGCGTGTGTATCGCGTATTAGAAAAAAAGATGAAATGGATACCGTGTATTTCGTGTAATACGAACTTTCAATTATGGACTACGACAGTTATATTTATATTATATTTGACAAATACGCGCTAAATGAGTTGCAATCTACTTTCGTATATTCATCGATCATTCAAACTCCCTGACGTATTGTCAAATTCTCACCACATTCACACAACTCGGAAAGATGAGCTATAACAAGATCAAACCTTTGACAGTAACAAAGAGAATATCACATTGCTTTTAAAAAGAAAGGAAAGCCAAAAGCCTTCGCTTATGTACATACAGGATTAGGGACAGGTTCTCTGTGTAAAGGATGTCAACGAGATGTTTCAAGGATCTCCACCAGCTCCCCAGTCTCTTGGTAGATTTCCTGGATTATCATCTTCAGTGTTATCACTACTTGGTGTCGTTGCATCGTCTACGTCGTCGTCGTCGTCGTCATCCTCATCATCCTCCACTACGCTGTCCTCTTCGGAGGAACTACTATCGAAGCCTTCATCGTGGTCTAGATTAAGATCTGGTGCATCTCCACCTGAAGTATAAAAAGTATATTTTTTATAATCCAAGTAGGTTGTAAGGACTTTTCAATTTATCAGGATCTGATTTATATACCTGCAGGTTCATCAGGTGGGTGTTGGTAATTTAAGCCACCCTCGACATCCACAGGATTAGCCATTTCTAAAATACGCAGTAGCCACAATGGAAATCCGTTTTCTAGGACGTAAATGTCGTTCTCGTTCTCAAGATCATTTTCTAATACGTCAATCAGAGGTTGAAGATCTTCCACATCGTTAATCCCTACGGCTATCATGTTATTTCCTTCCCCGTCTCTGTTGTTATTAGCGAGGTCGCCATTTTCAACCTCGACTAGCTCCAGAAAACCTGGTCTAGGTGCCTCCGCTACACTGGGTGATTCAGAGTCAGAAATCCTGTCGTGTGCAATACTTGATAAGTCGTTTTCAGGTGTTATGTCTAGTGCTGATGCTGAGTTTGGGTATCCAGAGTCCATAATCTCTGGCGAGAAACTATTTGGTGGTGTTTCTAAAGCTTCCGGTGAAATTGGCTTGACTTCGGCGATTTCTTGTTTTGAAGCCGGTCTTTGGCTCGCACATGGAATTTTTGATTCTTTCGTTGAGACGGTGTCCGCGATAAGAACATTCTTGGAACACGTTTGGCAATTACTTTGATTGTTTTCGGATTTCGCATCCTCTTCCGGAATGAATATACATTTTGAATCTTTTGAAAAATCATTGATGTTATTCAACAGGGTGTTATTACCATCTTGACTAGAATGTTCGTCTAATTCACACTTCTGCGTTATAATAGTTTTACACCGACTATCAGCTTCCTTCGATTCACACATTCCTGCAAATGTATCTTCAGGAACGTCACTGTCAGATGTGGTCTCTTCCGGTTTGTCAGAAAAATCATTTCCGCCTTTTAATGTCACACATTCTTGTTGATACATAGGGATACGTTCATTCTGATACCATTTTTCCATAATTAGACTACTGGATTCACTGGTATTACTTAAACCCAATAGAGAAGTTTGACTACTATTTTCTAATAAATTTTCATTACTGCTGGATTCCATTGTTGTTCTACTAGAAGAAAGTTGTGCTTGTTCTCTCTCGCATAATTGTTCCTCGAGTAAAGCTGTAGTACTCTTCATAGGTTTTTTATCTTCTGATTCTAGGAGAACTCGCGGAGAACTAGTAAATTGTGGTTGCCCGCTTATGTCACTGGTAATACTATTTAACGATAAACTTTGCATAGGATTTGCTTCGTGTTTTAAATGTGCGTTAGATATACATGAATACTCAATAGATTCCCCATTTCTAATTGGCAACTGTTCGATGCCATTTTCAATATGAATTTCGTTGGAAATCGATGGCACAGAATTATCAATGGATTTGGACTTAAGCAAAATTGGCGGAAACAGTAACTTAAGACCGCTACTCGTTGTCAATTGTAATGGCCGTTGTGGTTGAGATGTCATCCTGTCGTCATGGAGATTCATTTTATCCAGAGAATAAGTTGTACCTCCATTAAAAACCTCCTCTGAAAGTCCTCTGTTCCTCTGAAACGCATCCTCCGATTTTTGCTTGTAAAATGGATCGTCTGTTGGCTCCGTTTTCAAGTAAAAACTTACTCTGCTTTCTTCTCCTGAGAAATAATTCTCTCCGTAGCTAGAAAATGGCATTGATGTCATAACAATTGGTTCTGATTGTAAACTGGAATTTGAGATATCCAAATCATCCAAATCTATTTGATCCAAACCTATAGTTACGGAATTACTAGGTAATTCCTGCTCCTCTGAAATACTATGAAAATCAACTGGAACAAAATCCTGTACTTCATGATTATCATGCTCCATCTCCATATAAGGATCAAAATGATTTCCTTCTTGAGTACGCTGTGGATCATCGTAAGTCTTTTCTATGACGAGTTCTTGGTCGAATTCATCCAAACCTTCATCGTTATGATCATAATAATTAAGACTGAAACGATTCAACTCATCTTCTGCAAACCCGCCACTATATTGAACGTTAAAGGTATCCCCCTGATCCATTTCGTCGTCATCCCAATTTTCTTCAGGCACAGCATTATTATCATAATACTCAGTGGGAACACTAGATTCATCAGTATTCCATTCATCGCCCCAACGCGGTCGCTCGTGGTCCAGAAAATCATCATCATCGAATGCAGATTCGGAGAACACGGAACGTGCGGGCACCAGTATAACAGGTCCTTCTGGTCGATCTACTATTGTCCAACCAGCGTTCACCAAAATTTCTCGAAGTAACTCAGTGGTGATACAAAAAGCCACTAGTGAATTCATAAGTTTATCCAGAGCAAGTTCCTCCTCCTCTACTCCACATAAATATCTAATATAATAGGTTGCTGCATCCAGAATCTTCTCTTCGTCAGAACGATTGTCCATTTGAAAAGGATACTCATAGCAGGCAACTTCCTTAAATAGTCCTTCTGATCCAAGGATCCACTCTTGATTGATCTCTTCTCGTCTGTGAAACACTGCCATTTGTGAACAAGAACCACAGTGCTCTGTACCTGCAGGACCATCACCGATCCCTTGGATGGTCACCTCATAGTTTGGATACCTGGCGACGATGTTCTCCGCCCTGTAGATCAAATTAACCAACGATTCTAACAGATCCTAATCCAGAGGATCTCTTATTAATTCTTACCAGTCGCGGAATTGTTCTCTGCTCCATTCAAACTTGTGATCAGGATGACGAAATCCACTGAAATTATCGAACAGGACATTGAAATCCGCATTAGGAGTGGTCACAACGACAACTCGAGGTTTGATGTATCCAAAAACATTATATGGGAAATCCATTAATGTATCTGGATAGAGATGTTCGATTCTGAAGTAAAAAAAATTATATGTGACTAACATGTCTAATTCATTCTCTTATTGAATTCATTATGGCACATAAATTCAATTTATGATTTCATGAAAAAACATGACATACAGCTCTATACAAATAACAGCATCACAGTTTTCCAACTTTCGATCAGCATGTGTTACACTTCCTTCATAAAGACGAATTGTCAATGGAATTGATCTGGTATGTAAGAAATCAGCATGAAGTGGCTCAACTCTATGTTTGTATGTATTCAGTATTTCTTTATCTATGTCAACATGTAAAATTTCTTGGATTCCAGGAGTATTCTTCAAATAGACTGAAAAGGCCAATTCTGCACAGCCAAAGTCTACTACCTATAAGAGTAAAAGTACATCTAATTAATGTGCCACAGCAAAAGTTTACTCATAAAGAGCACAGTGACAAGTATAATCTCATTTATTCAAAGGGATATTTTCAACAAACAAACACACTCGAGTAATATATTTGTTTAAGTGATATTCATATATAACATTCAGCAATATCTCAACTGGCATTCATCGCAAGAATAAAATAATTTTACATGTAAGCAGCATAAAGAAATATAAAAAAAGAAATAATCGATAATATCATTCGTAAAAACAAGTGACAATTACTGTTCTTACGCATAATTAAAATTTGTTACCATAACCATACACAATTTTTTTTAATTAAAAAAACTCCAAGGAAACACAGTATCAGTAAAAAGAATCATAGCCATCGAAAAATTCTAATTACATTTGAAATATTGAAAATAACATCGTCTGCAAGCCGCGTAAGAACCCGCGTACATGCGAAGGATGTGGGATGATTAAAAAAAACAATGTTCGTAAAATCATAACAATAAAGTCGAATAATAAATAAATACAATACCTTTCTAATCTTTCCAGAGTAACGCTCACTACTAAGTACATTTTGAACGGCGACATATCGTTGTACGTAAACCGGTGGATAAAATTTCAAACCCATAATCTCGCATTGATAGAACTTGTAATCAAAATCGTTCTCACTATTCTCGACAATATCCAAGCTGATCTCTTCCTTGATAATAGTCGCTCGTTTACCTTGGAAAGTATTGTAAATGATTCTCCCCAGAAGATAAAGCACATGGAACAAAACGATAATCATATCTGTTTCAAATTCTCAGGGTATTCTCAGTTCGCCCGACGTATATTTCGCTTCTGACATTTCTTTCAATGTATCACGGCCATGTTGTTACCGCTTCAGCTTTCAAAGATAATCGGCAGATTGCAGTCGTACTCGTTTCTCGCTAGGGATCCTAGAAATACGTTTATAAAATTCTAGGGGTATTTTAAGTAATATCCATGTCTTCCTATTGGATGTCCGATGACAGAAGCATTTCGCAGTCTGCTCCAGTCTGCTTCTTAATGATAAGGGCAGACGAAAGTGCCGATAAATAGCAATATGGGTAGTGCGGATACAACGACAGTTGGCAAGAAGCTGATAAGTGATAATAATGATACTGTCGAAGAGTATGGACCGAATCTCAAGATTTTGCCATCAAACGACCAGGTTAAGGAGTTGCAAACAATCTTGCGGGATAAGTAAGTATTAATTATGCATTCGTGGTAAAATTATGATTCCACCTCACACTCGATTATTGCACGTCTGTATTTCTTATTTTATATACTATTTTTCAACATATTTTAAATTCTATACCGACATTCACTCATGCAGAATGTGGTATTCATGTAAGAGGATGGCATAAGTAGCACATGGCGCTGATATTTCCTGGAATATATATTACTAAGAAAAAAATGCATTCCTTGTTCTTTGTTTCTATTCCAGGAACACCACCAGAAGTGATTTCAAATTCTACGCTGATCGTTTGGTAAGATCAAATGAAGATCAGTTATATCCTTCGGGAAATTTGACTTATTATGTTGCACTTAGTGATCACGCGTTTTTGTGTGTATGTGTGCATGTGTGTGCAATTTTTTTCTACTTCCTGCTTTTAATTCAAGGTCATTTCCGGTTCTAGTATTATATTATTATTTGCGATTTTAAATCTTTCATGATACACATTTTTTACTTCGTTATATAGTATTAACTAAATGATATTCGTTTATTATTAATTAGCTAATTGATAGCGCCGTACAATTGCATAATGTGTACGTCAATTGATCATTTAAATTATGCAATGACAAATTTGATCTACAATTTAATTTATTTCACTTGCTCTTCTACTTAGTCATCCCTGAACGTGACCATGTGCTTGCACACACGGTACCAATGCGCGATTCATCTTTTATACTCGTTATTTACGCGAGCGATGACTTTGATTAGGAATGCTAAATAAAAAAGGTTGTTTGCAGAAGTGTCTGCTGTTTGTATACAAAATAAAAATGAAACAGTATTCGGCATAAGGTAAAGATATTTTATTTCCTAATGAAAAATCTCATGTTTTCACATTCTTTAATTCATCGTCCTATATTTATAACTACTTACATGTTATTAATTTAAGTAATTCATTATCTCTTAACAAATTTGTAAATGTACGGTATACGGTATTTGTTGTCTTGAATTATCGAGTTTTCGTCTAAATTATTTAAATCATAGCCAACACATTCTCTTTTTTTTTTATTACATAGTCCTCCATCAGTTTCATGAGATGATCAGTTACTACTGATTGCACATATTTCATTATTTATTATTAAAAAGAATTTTGTTCCAGATTAGACTCGTTATAGAAGAAAGTCTAAATCAATTACCATTTTCAAAATGCGTTGTAACTACGCCAACTGGAGCAAAGTACAAAGGATTAAAGTACCAAAAGGGAAATTGTGGAGTTTCTATAGTAAGAAGCGGAGAAGCTATGGAACAGGTACTGATAATAAATACATGTACAAATAAAAAAAGAAGAATGAAATTCCCTTATTCTTAAAAAAGAACGTTTATTTGATAAAGAATCAACTAACATGGATGTCGTAAGTTAACGCAAGTAGAATGTTCTAGCCATTTTTTCCCGTTTATTGCAGGGCCTGCGGGATTGTTGTCGTAGCATAAGGATCGGTAAAATATTGGTTGAGAGTAATGCCGACACGCACGAGGCCAGAGTTGTCTATGCAAAGTTCCCGGACGACATATCTGAGCGAAAAGTGTTGTTAATGTATCCTATAATGAGTTAGTATCAGACGCAATAAGCAACATTAATTAGGATTAAAATACAGTTAGGATCTCCTTATATTGGTTACATCATTAAAAAGACCAACGCCTGCGCCTGTCGGTCTGTTCGATTGCTCGACATGGCGCATGTAATAACGTTGCTTATTCAAAATTTACAAACATTGTCTGATTATGCATATTTTATGTAAACAATGCGATGACCTTAGATAAGAAACACTTAATAACGTTCCGCTTTAAAATGATTTACAGGTACTGGGAACACTGTGATAAAAGCCATAGCTGTATTGAAAGAACACAATGTGCAGGAGGAAAATATAATATTATCAAATTTATTCTGTACACCAATAGCTGCCAAAACTCTAGTCACTGCCTTCCCTAAGGTATGTAAAATTATTATTACTTGTCTAAATGGATTTTTGTTTGCTCTTCGTTCTCATTATTAGTATCTTCGCCATACGTCACTGTTCTGATAGATTCTAACCAGGCATCAACAAATTGTATGCTTTCTTCTGCTTGTACGCCGTAGGCGCCATTATTTGAGAAAATCACATGACTGGTCCAATGGAATACTGTTTCAAAAGATATGTTAGTTTGTCTTCAGATCGAGTCTCTTTTTGATTAATGCTAATATAGGCCCTTTTAATCTTTACTGTCATGTAGATATTGTGGATTGTGTTAAACAATTGTTTGTTTTACTTCTTAGTTTGCTTTTTTCTTTTTATATCACTTCGCTCGGCCGTTTCGAATATACATATATATATTCCAATTTACTTTAATAATTTGAAACTCGTCTTGAGAATAAAGCTGAATATTTCATTTTCCAGATGAAGATCTTAACATCGGAGATCCATTATGTTGCTCCCAATAATTTCGGACAGAAATATTTTGGTACGGATTGAATTCATTCAATTAATTTGCTAGTGAGAATTTAAGCTAAGCTAGAATATAATTGATTAAGTATATGAATCGTACACGTAGCGAAAGGGAAGTTATCGAAATGTCAGTGCTTAAAGCGGATTGACGTATTGTCGCAATTTTCTGCAAAGTCCAATATATAATAATATGATAAAAGAAAACAACTCCTACTACCTCTGAAAAGTGACAGAAGTAAAATACAATGCTCAGGAAGGCATACAAAAAACTAAACGAGCTACATACTCGTATTTTTTAGGAACGCATTTCAATTTCAATATTTAAATATCCATTCATTCATTCGTTCACTCATACGCATACTTACCTCAAAGTGAATATTTTTTACATGATCTCAAATGGCAGACTATACATTATGCAGTTATTATACAGCCGGAAATAACACAGCAAACTTGTTAGATATATTTCAATATAAAGGCAAACTCCTATTATGGTCACGCGTTATTTATGTATTCAAAACTTATTAGCAAACGTGTCTCCAAAATGTGTATTCCCTGATAAACTTAAAGTATTATTCAATGAATCCGCAAGGTCCCAAAAGTAGCGAGTTGCGGTAGTTAATTATATTATTACTCTAATCTTTTTTTTTAATATTTATTTTGCACCTAATCGCATAGTAATGCACTAGACTTACTAATTTTTTTTAGTTCTCAGGGGATACATAAATATATTTTAATTCGCGTTCTCAGTGCGCTATCGGGGTGACTCTTTTACACTGTATGTCCTAAAAAGATGATCCCTCCAACTGAAAATAATTTTTCGACCACAGGCAATGACAGTTCTTACATAAATATAAATGGAGGTCACTGTTTGCGAATGCATCTCATTAATAAATGCAAAGGACATTTCGATAATTCGCTTTTCCACGTAATAATATTTTGTAAGACTGTACGTAGTGTAATGTCACTTGGGGTCGACTCACGAGGAAGATTTTCGAGCACAAGAGATTGAATAAATGAGGGAACAAATGTCTCCTGTAGCCTCAAAATGAATTAAACTGTCTCAAGGTGAAAGGGTTTGCGAACACCAGCATCGATTCGTTGACGAGAAAAGACAAAAGTAAATTTTGCAAATTTTTTAATTCTCTACACCAAAAACGCCACAAAGGCCCACGAGTCCTGTCTATTAGGCCGCTGTCTATGGCAATATGTCTTTAAGGTGTTCCTTTCGTTCAGGATGTCTGGTGGGAATATTGCTTTTGCACGAAGCAGTGCAAAACTTATCATTTCTACTTATCATTTTCTTTTAATTCATTTTTTTCTGTATGTTTGTCCTATTGACATTTATTCCCGTATCATTTTATCAGCCATGAAAATGTATTCCTCGCGGGAAAGCTTTCCGCGATCGAAGCCATGTCGTGTTTTTCCTCTTTCTAATAAACACATACATATGAATAATTACGTGCAAGTTCAGGTAAAATAACGCTATTTGGCATAACATGTAAACGCGCTATATATATACACAGAAAAAAGTATAACCCTTACCCTCGCGGTAAAACGATACTTGGCTTCGAAACGCATACATACATATTGCATTCGAATCCAATACACCTTTTATAGTATAATTATCACAACTATGTGAACACAACACTAATGGATTTTCCCTTTATTATTATTTTATCTTGTCTCGATCCTTATGTTATCTTATCTTTTATTTTATGTTTTTCTTTTTATTCTTCACATTGTAGGCCGAGGGTTGTCTTTTGCACGAGTAATTGTTAAACTGGCATAATATTATAAAGGGATAGGCCATTAATGGCAACTCGGATTTTTTTTACAGTATATTAGCACCGTATGCACGTTTTATTATTGAACTACATAGACACAGGTGAAGATTGGAAGACTATAAAGCATCACGTTTACATATTCACTCAAAAACATATAGAAGAATTTCAAGAAGCAATTAATACAAAAATATTTCTAAGCTATACGTCAAACTGAAAATTTATTCTATGCTAAGTTAAATGGCAACAGCTTTTTTTTAGAACGACCTCACGGTATCCGGAAGTCGTGTCTAAACTTTTATCGTTTAGTATTACTTAAGAAAATAATGCCAGTGTTGAATCACCAGGATTTATAATGATCGATAGATGGAAGTTATCTAACGATTTAAAAATGATAAACCGATAAATAATATGATCTCCTGATCATACTACCGTATTATTCAAAATCTTGTTTTCTCTTTCTATTAATTCTACATGCAGGATATTTTCTAAAACACCTGACTAGTGCTAAAATACCGAATGAAAAATGTCAAAGAACTTTTGTACGAGCATAATATCATTGGATATCATATTGAACCTTGAAACCTTAACAAGAAAAAAAGCACACAATAGACAAGATCTTATTTTCTGATAATGCATAATACGACTTTGCCCTGAATTTTTATACATATAGCAACTTGTACGCGTTTTCAACGTCAAACATAAATAATTAATTTTATAAGTCTTACCATTAGTTAATATCAGTCACGTGTGTATGAGTATAGTGTGTGCGTCGCGTTACCTTGTGTCGCTTTTACTGTTACAGTAATAATAACAGCACACAAAGTTCAAACAATATACCGTGAACAGGCGTATAATATGTCCTGTACGTACCGAAGCCATTTATGTACATGCATATACGCGAGGGAGAAATAATGCGTGGAGGAATTTTGAAAAAAAAAAGGGAGACGAAAATTAATTTAACGTTGTTCTTAAGAAACATTACGAGTCAGAGCACACATTAATTGTTGTATCTTTCTTTGAAAATCATACATACCTCAGACGCATATTCCGGTGGCTGTTCCAGTTTAGAATGATTTCTTGATTTTGATTTTTACCCCTTTTTTTTATATCAACTCCTGTCGCAAAGAGAATTGTCACGCGTGTCATGTGTTCAGACGAGATAAGAATTCATGTGAAACAAGCATACGTGTAAGACGCATAAGTCTGTACGAGTGTTCAATAAGTTATTATAGCTTTAAGCATAAAGAATCTATGTTGCGCACCCTTGTGTGTTTGTTTTCTTGTCCTGCATAGAATTGAAAGTAAAAATTGCCAAAAGAGAAAACACGCAAATGCTTATTGCATCTATTCTTGGTGATGACAATCGTTTGTCTTTTTCTTACATTTAACATTCTACACCAGTTTTACATACTTTTTTATATAACCTTCTAAGCATATAGTCAACGCTTTTTATTTTTTGTCATGGAACGACATTTACTTGCATATATGATAATACATTTTGTTCAGAGTGAATAAAAGGAGTGTATTTTTATGAGAGCTGTCAGAAGAACATAACCAGTCAAAATATTAAATTGTACGTATGTCTGGCGAACTTATGAATTCTAATAAGATAAAGATAGGATAAAATTGAAAAACACCATTATCAAATACGACGCATTAAGTATTTGCGGATATTCTCTATGTAATTTAATAAGAATTCACAATAGTTGAATTATAACAATTTGTACGTGAAGGGCTTAAGGCAACCTAGGAAATTCGTGGCAAATGTGTCACATGAATAATTAGCATGTTGATCAGTCGTAAAATAAGAGACAATTTATGTGCAAATAAAAGTGAAAAAGGTAATAATCCAAATACCTGTATAAACACCTCTACTCTACGTATCATTAATTTCATTGAAATTCGAGAACTATTTTGCACACGTAGTAATCTCTTTTCATGAGAATCCTATTCTTTCCAAAGCCACGATTGCTTTTATCTTGAATCTAGTAATGTCGATAAAAATTTACCCGTATCGCTATTAGATTATATCATGAAGTGTTACATTTTCTAAGAAATATGTATGTTTCAGTTGCGATTCATTATTAATTAATTTATAGGACGTATATGAGTTGAACACGTAGTCCAATTAAGAATGAAAGAGAACTTTTAATTCTTTAATCCCAGAAATCATAGATTGCATAAGAAAGAGGAAAAAAAAACATGTTTCGCCATTGTTATTTTTCAGGCACTGAGTATCACGGTGTAGAAGTTACGTCGAACGTACAGAAGACAAATTTCGCAAGACGTTACAGTTATGACTCGGATTAGTTGGTTATTTTAATGTTGGTTATTTAACGATCAGCTTTCCTTTATCGTAACCATGTAGATTTTGATTCTTGAATTTTTGTTTTTCTTCGAGATTCCCTTGCTCTATGAGAAAACTTAAATAGAAATGGAGACATAGAAAAGTACATCGTCGAGAAGCTGAGAGACGGCACTGTAAAACTGGATTCAACGAACAATTTTAAATGGGAGATTGACGTTACAATAATTAAGGACAATGTTGCAAAGATGTATTTTGTACGTATTTCTAATTTACCGTTTTATCGTGAACAGTGTTTCTTTTTATGTAGAAAATATGAAGATGAATATGATTGCGTTTTTCTTTTACATTTTTTACACAAGTACCTCCAAGGTCAATATTCAAAATCATTTTTTTTCTTTGCTACTTTTACTCTTCTTGCGTGGATGAGTGCTAAATGAAACTGAATTGTTCAAATAACATGTGAAGTCTGAGTGAAACAAATAAGACACACAAGATCGTATGATTCTGCGTGATTAACTTGTATCGATGTATTTATTAGTAAATTCATATATGTATATATAACAGTGATCCGTATGATACATATCAAATGTATAATGAACCTTGTAAATATATGCGTGTATATTTTCATAATAATGCGATGCGTTAAGACTTTATTTCGTAGAACTTCTTTAAGTCTAACAGTCATTTTTTTAATTCTCTATTCATTCGTTACTCTTTCCCTTTTATTAGCGTCAGTCACGGTACGATAACTGCCGTATAAAAAAAAACATTGTTGAAATTCTATCACGTCTTTAGGCATTTAACCTTATCAAAAGAGAGGGGGAGAGAGGAAGAAAAAAAGTAAGACAATTTGGCTTCTCTTTTTTACGTCATTGTTACACCCACCTGTCCTATTAGATTCTGAAAAAGCTTTACTTTTTTTCTGCCCTTCCTCTTTTTTTCTTGTAACCTTAATCAGTTTTACTGTGTATATGGACATTAAAAAATGTTTAGCTTCTATTAGTAATAAATGTAGTCTATGTAGCATTCTTTTTCTATTTTTATGTTTTACCATCTCGTTTGGAGCTTCTTTTTTTCCACTCGGAGGCCGTGCAAATAATTCAACGTAAAAGCCAGGTGGGTTTACAACGGTATTTAAATTATTAATTCAATAGTAAACAAAATACGACTAATAGAAAAGAAGAGAAATAACGATCGTATCAAATTATCGGGATACCAGATAATTATTTAAACAATAAGCAATACTACGAAATACTCCAAAAATTAAAATGAGGTTATTTCTACAAAATTTTTAAGAACTGATACGCCCGGTTCTATCACTTTATGATTTCTAATGGTGCGTGAAGCGATAAATGTACATGTAATACGTATTTTCTGGCTTTTCTCTGCTCCTTTGTTAACACTTGTTATCAATATGTTCATGAGACAGAATTATAAGGACTCCTAGCAAATCTCTATAATTTCGTATATCCCTTTACGTAAGCGACAATGCGTGACATCAGTGTCGTTCAAGAAGTATTTTTACTTGAAAAAAATATTTGTGCTTGTCATTGTTTTGCTTTTACAGTGAATACAGATATAAAGTAAGCAAGAAAGAATGATAATGATCATTTTGATTGATTATTGAAATTCCTTTTTCTTTTACTATTTTTTATGCCGAATTTCGACCGTTACGTGAATTTTGAAACCAACGATTAAAATGAATTTTGAATAAATTCATAGAACGAGAAAAGAGAGGATAAAAGAGTGATAAAAAACGAATTGAGCGAAAAGGCGAAATTGAGCGAAAGCTCTTTAAACGAATTTTTAGACAAAAGTCGACGTACTTATTCATTTCCATATTTGTATTTGATCGGACAATCTTTTCGTATTATCTAAAAATGTTGGTTAACCGTAAAATCTTGAGCACCGAATCTCTTATACACGAGAACGCGATCTAGCGTGAATGGCGAAATCTTATAAGGAACAGTGCGAAAATATACAAATTTTAATCAACCGAGACATATAGTACTTTTTTTATAAAGCAGACCATAAATATCTACACTGAGAAAATATTAGAGATAGGATACGCGTGAAGGTAATAAGAAAGACTGGGTCGAGAAGATAGGACAATACTGTGGATAAGCAAATGAAAATCATAAAAAAAAAAATAATCCGTTAACTCTGTACGAGTTTCGAATAACATTTTATGATAAAGCGCAGAACAATATTTAATAGTCTTTTATGCCATAAATCGACTTGACAACAAAACGCTGTCAACCCACCGCCATATACTTTCGAAAACAACGAGGAATCCTTGGAGACTGGGATATGTCCGTAGGAATTAATATAGTTAACGAAATGATATAAAACGAAGTATGTTTTAAGAAAGCGGTTTATGAAGGTATCTCGCGTAACTAAGCAATACAGAATACAAAATGAAGATGCAAAATGGTTTCGAAATTCCCGTAGGAGAAACGAGAATACGAAAATAGAAAACAGAAAGACGTTTGAATTCACGTTCGTGTCTATACATAATTTGCGAATTATACGACGGTTATTTGTATTCTACGCAAGCCTACTTGTAGTCTTCTTTCTTAATTTTTAAAACTTTATCCGAGTTGTTTAATTTTTCAATAATCAATAAATTTTAAGCTTTTTTATCGCTGATTAAAAGAAAAAGCGAACAGTGCAGAGACAGCTTTATAAAATAAAGATGATGAATAATATCAACGGACATCGCGAAATCCCAGCTTTTAATTTTAAAGTGATATTTACTTATCTACTCCTCCTTCTCTTGATCGTCGGATTTCTCCTCGTTTTTATCGCCACTTTCCTCCATTTGTTCAGCTTCTGTCTCAGAAGTGTCTTTCGCGTCGCTTTCGTTAACCTTTGTATCGTTCTCAGGTTCTGCAGCAGCATCGACTTCACTAGGAATATTTATTTCGGTCTCCTGTTCTTGACTTGTCAGAGGTCTCCTCTCTTCCAAACTGTTTCAAATAAGGACATGAATTTTGAGTCCATGACAATGTTTGTTGTCCTTAGAGTTTGTTAGTTTAAAATCTTTTTTCACCTTTCAGGCTGAACCGTAGTATCCTTATCTGTAGATGGCTGCAAAGAAATAAATGAAATTATTAATTAAGATTAATTAATAGCATTTAAATAGAAATTTCTAGGGCTTATATAAGATTATTTAAATATAAAGACAGGGGAAAAAAGGATATTTTAAGCTTCAAATGGTACCGTTTGGATTGAATATATACCTCTCGACTGGATGCATTTCCATTTTGCTGAATGTCTTTACTTTGTGATTTATCCAGTGTGATCTCTGCAGTACTAATAGCTGGTGTTACCTTCAAGAACTTTTCAAGTTCATCTATCTCATTGGCAAGATCAAAATCTTCGTAATCCTAATTAAATAATATTATACAATGACTGTACACATAATATACAAATCACAAAGCTGTACATTAAATGAATAAATAATATACACTCAGGTCACTATCTATACATCATAATAAGGCAGAGATAAATAAACTTCAATTTAATCTGAATTACCCCACAGTATTCATCCTCGTTAAATATTTGTGGAGGCAGAGGGTGTTTACTCTCTTTTGCGTTACTATGAGTTTGCATAAATTCTTTTTCAGATTCCTTTCCTGGCTCAGTAATATCAATCACAGTATATTCGACATTCTTACTCTCAAGAATCATCAAGACACGTTGCTGCCTTTTTTTTACCTGAAATCAATTAATTAAATCCTGTACACCCAAAACAAATTTTCGAGGATCTAAAACTGATTGAAGAAGGCTAAAAGGACACTCCAAAAACATAAAAGAAATACGAAACAAAAAGATTTATCGAAAAATCCGAAAAACCGCAAAAGGCATCCTTATCATAATAATCTCTTTGTGAGTAATAACTGACTAACGATAGCTTTACCACAATAGACTATGATTAATCGTAAGCTTCTCGCAATAAGATCTACAGTTATAATGACGAAAGTTGTAATTATCAAATCGATTGTAATCTGATCCATAAGCATGTATCGTGAAATGTCATCATAAGTTAGTTGCAAGGCCACAAATTAACACTGGCCAAGGTTTTGTCGCATTCTGAATCTGTATATCAATGAAGCATTTTGGGTCCGTAGAAATTTTGGCACTCACTTCTTTATTGCCGCTGATCCCCGATATGTAGACCTTGACGACCATCGTTGCCCGGGGTAATTCTCCTGTCAACCGGCACGATAAAGCACCCTCGCCGAACCTTCCTCACTGGCTAATTTATTGGTAAATAAGTAGTAGCGGTACCAAACAGCTAGTTATGGTCTGACGACGGCTCAGTAGTAGCAAGTAGCGCTTTGGCTCACCACGAAACGAAAGCCTAGCCTAGTATCTATCTCTTCTTCTACTACGTCGCTGTCTCTCTCTGGCTGTCCAACGAAGTAAATCTGTTAGGCGAAGCTAATGAATGCTTAAGGTTGTTTTATGACGTCACAGTTCACTTTCTTGAGATCACCTACATAAGGCTTGCTTTTCAATCAAGCTTCTGTAAGGTCCGTTCGTGCAAATGGTTTTACGTGTCCGGACTATTATAAATGTATTCGAAAATGAGCCGAGAGCGCATAGTATGTACATACATACGCGTGGCGTGGCGTCTCTGTTTAATGCATTAATTTGATCGAGATACCAACATGCTCTCAGCGCTCTCGGCTCATTTTGAAACACACCGATACTGCTCTGGAGCACTGTTATGTATTCTTTCCAGAAAAATATGTAAATAATTCAGAGTAAATATTGTAGCGATTTTTATGTGGTGGCCATTTACAAGCCTCTGCTGAGACTTATTTCGGAGCGAAGACTATCATCTGATCTTATATTTTCCATGGTGTACTATTATTGGGGTGTACTTCAAGTCAATAGTTTAGTACTCGACAGTATTCTATGAAACATGTTGGGTCTAATTTTGTGCGGTCGTCTGGTACGATTTGCACAAAATAATTCAAGAATTAGGATTGGTGGTATAAAGAAGTTTTCAAATTCGGCTGGCAAACAGTTAATATTTTCCAGAGGACAACGATATTCTGTTCCTAAGTGTTCGGCTTCGATTTCAGTCGCCGGAATTAGGGTAATATTTATATCTCAGTTCTACAAGCTGATCTCTATATGTATTTCGTCCTAATAATCCAGACTTCACTGTTATTTAAATAATTTTTCTAATTCGATGACGTTTTGCAGTTTTATGATGTAGGATTGATTTTTGTATTCTAATACCTTTGAAGATAATATCCTAAGGAATTATAAACATAAAAACTCACTTATGCTGAGAACAAGTATCTTTGGACAAGTGGCAGAATGTTATCTATTAAAAGTCATAACCGATCTAATCAATCATAAAACTGATGCAACACATTATTTCTCACTGTCATATCAGTACAATTATTAATAATATTGATGTTGGTTTGCAAATAAATAATATTACTGAAAAAAAAATTGTCATACTTTTGCACTCGGCAGGCATTAAACTCTCAGAAAATAATTCTTTATTTGAAAATGATGAATACTATATAAATATTTCCTTATTCATTCTACAGATTTAATGCCTGCTGTATAGCTATGGGTCGAACATCAAGAAAACGTCACAGAAAGAAGAGAAATCATTTAACTGAATTAAAAAGTCAGGATGAACTTTTTCAGCATTTAATAGAATGGATGATGTCCAATAATTGGCAGCCAATTTGTGATTTAATGCCACATAACTTTCCTGATACTGGACGAGGTTTAAAGACTTTAAAACACATTAACGCAAAAGATACTTTAATCAATTTACCAAGCAATTTGTTAATAACAACTTCCACAGTATCAAACAGCTTCATTAGTACAATCTTCTCAAGTAAGGAAAGCTATGAGGCTCAGAGTGTATTAGCTGTATTTTTGGTATTTGAAAAACATTTAAATGAAAGATCTGACTGGAAAGTATACTTGGATATGTTACCAGATCATTACACGAATCCAGATTTTTGTACCGAAACAGAAAAATCATTATTACCAGAGTATATCTTAGAATACCTAAGATTACAAACAAATAAGGTCAAAAGTAGTTATTGTTTGATATTAAAGTCTATAGATCTTTTAAAAATGTCTGAAAAGCACATTTGCCCACACTGTAATATATCTTTACATAAAATAGTACATTATTCCGAATATAAGTGGGCATATTATACAGTCAACACAAGAGCCATTTATATAGATGAAAATGTAAACAAAAATTGTAGTATAAATATTAGGAACATAAATAACATGACTTTGGCACCTTTTCTTGATATGTTTAATCATACATTCGATGCTCCTGCAGAGGTACACTTGATTATTGATGATTGTCAAAAAAAATTTTATCAACTTAATACATTAACATCATTCACTGCGGAATCCCAAGTTTTTATTAATTATGGTGCACATAATAATATTAAACTATTCATTGAGTATGGGTTTTACATTCCTAAAAATCCTTTAGACGAAGTCTTTTTTGATATTCCAGATGTACAGAAATGCATTAATATTTCCAAAAAGAAATATAGCTTTCTTAGAATAAACGATTTTCATAAAAACATGGGATTTACTTGGGATGGTCTTAACTATAATGCAAAAATTGCTCTATTCGTGTTAAGCACAAATACAACAAGTGAAACATGGAAAATGAAGATATACAATCAAGCATTTAATGCTCAGGACACAAATAATATAAATATACTAGCTAATCAAATTCAAAATATAAAACACAAGGAACTAATAAGTATATTAAGCAGTATGCAAAAGCTAACCAAACCAAGTTTAAGTTTTCAAATTGCAAAAAATATAGTAGATGAGCACATCTCATTATTAAATGAATCATTGAACAACCTTAATATCATGCAATAGGTTTTAAGATTTTATTGTAAACCAACTTTAAACAATTAAATCTACATTTGTGAGTAATTTTAAGTGTACATATTTTAAATATATCTTCATCTTTCCTGGAACTCAACTCTATGTACTACCAAGAATAAACCATTCATATAAAAGAATTATTCACATCAAGAATTAATTTTATAGCACCACAATGATCATTGTCTCTTCTGTGAACAGTGCTGCAGTGGCAATGTTCTGGACCGAGCGCAGAAGAAGAAAAATGTTCCTCAATCGAAGTCCGTGGTCACTCCGGTTAAATTAGCCTTGGTAGTGGCCGGGCTAACTGGGGCTAAACCGGGACAACAAAAGCGTAACTGCTTCCATCCAGGCGTATCTAGCTTGAGCCGCGAAGGAATAAGCTTCCAGGATCGACCCCCAGTTACCAGTATAGAAATGGTCAAAGGAATGCTTAGTTATATATGGCCAAAGGTGCATCGTCATTTTTCATGAGATCAAAAATAAGTATAGGACACTAAGGACATGTTATAGACATTTTTTTCTCTTCTCTGTTCCCAGGATGATCAGGAAATTAGAAACAGAGTAAAATTAGCTGTAGGTCTATTGGTTGGAGCCAAGCTACTCAATGTCGGAGTACCATTTATTTTCAAATATGCTGTCGACACATTAAATGCTCATTCAGTAGCAGCAGGTGGAGAGGCGATTTTAAGTATGAATAGCGCTCCGGAAACTGCAGCAACCATAGGAATATCATTATTGATTGGATGTAAGCATACCTAGTGCCAATTCTGTAATATTTGATCGACGGACTGGATAGAATGCACTTATTATTCTCTTAAAAACAGATGGTATTGCTCGTGCCGGTGCGGCAGGTTTCAATGAGCTGCGAAACGCAGTTTTTGCAAAAGTCGCACAACATTCGATTCGTAGAATTGCGAAAAATGTATTTTTACATTTGCACAATTTGGATTTAGCATTTCACCTTGGAAGACAAACCGGTGCGTTGTCTAAGGTAAAAATCTAAAGATTATTATAATTAATAGATGGTTTTCCACCTTTATATGTGCTTTTTTATAACAATTATTTTCAGACCATAGATAGGGGTAGTCGTGGCATTAATTTTGTACTCTCTGCCATGGTGTTCAATATAGTGCCTACTATATTCGAATTAGGTTTAGTAAGTACGATATTGGGTATAAAATGTGGCGGAGAATTTGCCAGTGTTGCTTTAGGCTGTGTTGGAATTTATACGGTTTACACATTGGGTGTCACTCAATGGCGAACGAAATTTCGGGTTTACATGAATCAAGCGGAAAACGAAGCCGGGAACAAGGCGATAGACTCGTTGATCAATTACGAAACAGTGAAAGTAAGTATTATGTTAAATCTATCATAATCGCAATTCTGTTATTCATTTCTTTTTATTTCTTAGTACTTTAATAATGAGAAATTCGAAGCTGAAAAGTATGACCAGTCTTTGAAGAAGTATGAGGCAGCTTCTTTGAAGACAAGTACCAGTTTAGCATTGCTGAATTTTGGTCAGCATGCAATATTCAGCGCTGCACTCAGTTTGATAATGGTACTGGCTGCAAGGAACATTGTTAATGGTAAGAATGATAGCGATGATGTTAAACTAGTAATTTTATAATAGTAACTTCATTTCCTTATATACAGGAACAATGACTGTTGGTGACTTGGTAATGGTAAATGCATTGTTGTTTCAACTATCCGTCCCATTAGGTTTCTTGGGTTCGGTGTATCGAGAAGTTAGACAAGCTTTTATAGATATGCAAACTATGTTTACGCTAATGACAATGGATCCTACTATTAAGGTGCAGTAAAAATTTACTTCCTTTTTTTTATTTTAATGTATAAGGTTTATTATTATTCGTTTTTGTTTAAACAGAACAAAGAAAATGCCAAACCATTTAGTATCACACCACAAAACTCTGAAATCACATTCAAGGACGTGAATTTCCAATATGTGGAAGGCAAGAATATTTTTAAGAATCTTAGTTTTACCCTTCCTAGTGGAAAGAAAATTGCCATTGTCGGTGGTTCAGGTTCTGGGTAAATTATTTACGTCATTTTGCATAGCATCTTATATAAAAAGAAAAAATTGTATAATTGTTGTATCGGTTTCAGCAAAACGTCAATCGTAAGACTGTTATTCAGGTTCTTCGAGCCAAAGAGTGGCGAGATTTTGATAAACGGTCAAAATATTCGCGACGTCGACCTGGACGATTTGCGAAGATCCATAGCCATAGTGCCACAGGTCAAATGATATAAATTAATATTAATACTGTCATATCCCATAACAAAATCATTGTTTTCAGGACTCCGTGTTGTTTCATGATACCATTTTCTATAATCTCCATTACGGAAACTTAGCCAGATCTGAAAATGACGTTTACGAGGCGGCAAAAATGGCGAATCTTCATGATTCTATATTGAAATGGCCTAAAGGATATCAGACTCCAGTTGGAGAACGTGGTTTGAAATTGAGTGGTGGTGAAAAACAAAGAGTAGCGATAGCACGAGCAATTCTGAAAAATAGTCCTATTTTAATATTCGACGAAGCTACATCATCCTTGGACTCCATAACAGAAGCTGTAAGTTAATATTAAAGCTTGTAATTTTATTCCAAAAAATTCGACATACATTCATGTTAAATTGTTCTCCACAGAATATTCTAGAGGCTCTCCGACGAGCGACTACTGGTCGCACTTCCATCGTCATTGCTCATCGTCTGTCTACAGTGATGGACGCCGATGAAATTTTGGTTTTGGACAACGGCTCTCTAGTTGAGAGAGGCACGCATAATGAGCTATTGGCTATCCCAAATTCTCTTTATGGTAAATTATGGGAGGCGCAGCATATGGGCGTGATAAAACAAAAGAATGAAACTATTAAACAAAGACCAGAAGGTAGTGCATGATTCCAAAATAGAAGGAAAATGCACTCTGTCCTGTCCTGTCTACTATTTCATTAGTGATATTTACAGTAATATAATAGCGTTAATGTACAGAAGCACGCGCCATGTAGGCGTGTGGTGAATTTGTACAGTATTTTCAGGAAGTACGATAACGCTTGTTAAACAGACGAACAGCTCTTCGGCGGTTCTATGAAAGATGCAAGAACTTTTCTGTAGCGGGATTCTACAGTGAGCAGCATTACTCGAAGTAGTATAACGTTAATAACGGATAATTGGTTTGTGTAAAAAGTAAAAAGAAAAAAACAACTATAAAATACGAGGCTAATAGAAAAGTCCTATGTAATATACGCATGAGTTGAAATGGAAAAATAAAGGATTTTAGTTATGGAGATGAACAACTGATTTTTTTTATTCATTACCAGTTAATTGCCAGTAATAATATATTCTTACGACAGTATGAAAAATAGGCTAACTTCTGAAAAACGAAGTAATTATCGATTAATTTCAGCCGCTGACTGGTCAGTTACCCTGGCAACCTCTTAAAAAACAATCATGGACGCCTGTTGGGGCAGCAATGTGTTTCTGACACGCTGAAGAAAACGTGAAGATGTCGAGGAGTGACTTTGACAATTACAGGATAAGAATGTAACGGAATAAGGTGGTGCCTGTTTGTAAAATGCAAACCGAGGTGCCGACTCTGCCCGTAGTGTGCTTGGATGGATTAAAGCGTTCAGCTAGGTAAACTCTTTGGTTTGTTCTTAAATGTGAAAAAGACTAAGATCTAAAAAGTTCTTTTGATCTTTGTGAGACAAGGAGAAAAGAAATAAAAATGGTTTCCATGAATATTTACAGGAAACAGAACAACGGAACAAGATCATCGTCAGTAGCTGTCAAGAATCATTCACCATGTAAAAGTGCTGCATATCTTGTATCAAATCGAAAACAGTTACACCCATTACTCGGTGCGTACAAGAAATCAAAGGATTTGTAAAATATTTCTCTTTAATGTTGCATAATAATAGGTGGGCCATATAAAAATACGGTACGTATCTATTCTTTGTCGGAGCCCTTAAAGACTGGTAGCAAAAGTGCCATAGGGCAAAGAGTAATGTCTGCAAAGATGCTACGTGTCAAACAACTTCAGAATCAGCTTGCAGACGCTCATTATCATCTGAATGTAAGTAAGATACAAAATATGTATAATTTTAATCATAGACCGCATTCTATATGGTATGTACGAATTTCTATTTATTAGGAATTGGCGAATGAGAATAGATTATTGAAAGCGTTACAAAAGAGGCAAGACTGTGCTTTAAGACGTTACGAGGGAACCAATGCAGAATTGCCGAGAATCATAAATTCGCACCACGAAGAGCTTAGAGTATTGCAAACTAAGTACAAAAAGCTCAAAGCTCAGCATAAAGAAACGTGTGACTTACTAAAGGAAAAAGAAAATGAACTTCATTCACTTCAGGTGATTTTTAACTATATCAACGTTTTTATTCAATATTTTATTAATTTCAAGGTATTTTCATTCATCTTATCTTCAGACGCAAAATAAACATTTGCTGCAATTGAGTAAGGATCGTAATCTTGGCGAACGGGAGAAGCTGCAGATGCAAGTATCAGATTTAAATCATAGGATAAATTTGCAGCAGGATACGATACAGGTAGATATTCTAAGAGCAAATGATTTCTTTTTAATTTTCATATGAATCTAATAATTATTGATTCGATCAGACGCTCAACCGGAAATTGACTTTGGAAACTAAAAGCTTGAAGCATCAATTGAATCTAGAAGTCGCCAGGCACAGAGAGACACAGAAACACTTGCAAGAATCTCTTGAGAAGCTGAAGACTTTAGAAGATCTTCTGGACAATAGAGAAAGAAGATTGTATTACAGTGGACAATTACCAGTTTTCCATAAACCGAAAAACATGGGATCTCAGTCTCTTACAAATTTAGCCGAAAGAAGGTATCAAGTGGGAAATCAAAAATTTCTAATTTTTTCTGTAATAAAAATGTTTCCACATTTCCAACAGCAACGCGATAAAGACAGCTAGAACCAAAGGACAAAATACTGATAATGATTTACTGGTAAGAATGGTTAAATAATTCAAATTAACACGTTGATTGCCACGTCAGTCACGGGTGAGTGACAGTGTAAAATACGTGCACTTCTAAGCCGCGCGCGTGGCCTGACGGGGATTTCCTTATAAATTCGCGTGGCTCTCAACGTATTAATACTTCATGAATAATTACTCAAAATACTACAAATTTTCTATAGCCAATTCTGGCCGAATCGGAATCCATGGACCATGTAAAATTTGGGAAAACTATACCTACGTCAACGGCCGATTTATTACCGCTATCGCCGAAAACAGAAACAATGGCGAATCTTCACCGCGTAAGAAAATTCCGACTTCAAAAGGCTTCAAGTAATCGCGACGTATCCACAACGAGAAGTAAAGAAAAATCAAATGAAAGAAGAATCGAGGAAAATGGCGAATCAGCTGAGGTGTTGAATTCTGGAGGAACGCGAAATTTCGCAGATATGATGGCACAACGTGAGGCAAATGATTATGAAAGAGAATTACGAAGATTCGAGGAGAATTATGAAAAAAGAAAAGGTCATGGAATTTACAAATTACCCAAAGAATTAAAAAAAGAATATGGATATTCAAGTAGCGACACAGACAGTGAAGAGACTAATAAAGCTCAAGATCCATCGAGTAAGTCAAAAGAATTGCACGCAAGATTGATAGATAATGAAGAAGAGAGCTCAGATATCGACGATAACAATGATAAGAGAAGAACTCCCCGATTTTTTAACAATGATACCAACCATGAAAGATTCATTAATCAGGAAATAATATTCAGTCACGAATCCTTGTCGAAATTGTCAAAGAGCTCGATTAGACAAATCTATGGGAACTTTGAACATAAAACCGAAAAAAGATACGCAAGTATTTCGGAAAGTGAGTCCGAATTGGAAATGGAGTCAGGACTAAAAGAAGATGGTGAAAAATGTAAATTTTTACTAAGGCCTGTGCAGGATGATAATATGGTGAAATCGGAAAAGAATAATCTAATGGAGGAATTTTTTAAATATGACATAAACGTAGCAGAATCAGAATCAGAAGTAGATAAAGAGGAATTGGGAAACACTCAAACTGGATTAGAAAATGTTAAACAGAAGTCAAAGAATTTTGACATGGGTCAAGAAAGTGTTTCAAGGGACACTTATGACAATGGTCATCAGCGTCTTATGGACATTACAAAATCCTGGAGTGAATTGCAAGACAAGATAATGAAGGAACGTGAAATATCAGAAAGACAATTAAAAGCTTTGGAAAATAACGCAGAAGATTCATCACTTAAAGTGAAAGCAAAAGACTCACTATTTTTCAATGATAATATTCACACTGATAAGATGTCTTTATCGGATCTTTCAGTTTTAGAATATAATGCAGCAGACAAGGAGTCTCATTTCAATAAAGTGGATAAAGCAAAGCAATTTGTTACACAAGAAAATATGAATGTTACTGTAGAAGCAAATACATATAAATCCAATGAATTACTTGAATCACCAATAGAGTCCGGCGAAGGAAATGCAGAGACTGCTCCGAAAGATGATTTTGAGAAAGTACTAGAGAGTAAAGCACGAAATTTTAAAAATTCTGAAGCAGATGAATCGTATTTAAACAAAATCGAGGAGGAATTGAGTAAAATAGATTCTGTCCAAGGTAAACTGTCAAGTTTGACAGCAGAATCTGACAGGAAAGATTGTGTTAATTACATCCTAAAAAGTAGTATAGAAATAAGGGAGAAATTAAACGATTCCATAAAAACAGAAAATTTGCAAAAACTTTTGGAAAATGCTCAGCATGTATCGGATGCTACAGAGGGAAAATCTAGTAAGGGTCATAAAGACGAAATGTCAAAAGAAGGAAATTCATTGAGTTATAACAAGGAAAAATTGTTAGCAGCCATGAAGGCGATTGATGACAATGAGAATATTGAATTTTTGGATAATCAAAAATCCCGAAGGAGCAGCATTTCGAACAGATCACAAATTACTGAAAATCTCTATCGTGGATTACCTAGTCATGCGAAAAAGAAAGATGATCTCATGAAGGAAATATTTGGTGATGTAAAGGTCGAAAGTAAAATGCGTAATGGCTGTAGTAAATTACACTGATATAAAACAAGTCCTTTTTCAAAGAAAAAAAAAGAGAAAAAACTTAGTGCACGAGACATTCAAAATATATAAATAATGCACTGTTAAATACCATCTTAGACAGTTTTAATTATTTAAAAAAAGAGGATTTTTTCTCTTTGTATAAATTTCCCGTTGAAAAATATAAAACATTATAAGATCTTCGGTTAATCAAGAAAAGATTCGGTGTTTGAACAAAAATATTACAAGATCCTGTGAACAATTGAATATAACAAAAAAAGTTTGAAATTGTACATATTATACCTCGTAACGTGTACAAAAGTGTTGCAATAACAAAAAAAAAATAAAAATGTATCACAATTCCCCTAGAGGCAAATAAATAATTTCATACGCAATGAATACTACTTGATGTTGTCTTTTTATATTTTTGTTTCTTTTGTGAAAAAATACAAATTTGTTTACTATAATATAAATGTGCCATATCGCCCGCACGAACACATCTCATTCTTAGGGAATAGGATTTGAGCATTTTAAAATATATTTGTTATTTACATGAGGTTAATGACATTAAAAAAACTGCAGTTGTTAATGATCAATATTTTTAGTAATTAATAATTTTAATAATTTCTATCATAAACAACCCTGCCCGAGAATCGGAAATAAAAAGATTGCATACCACCCGCTGGAATTTTATTATTTTTTTGAAATATTTGTTGGCCATGTGATCTATTAATTTGGTATCGTAATTAGTAATGTTAAATTCCTCTTGCTATGTCAAGACTTTACCGCCACAACGTATAGTTTAAAGATGAACAGATCTAATCACCATTTAAACATATTACTAAATAAATAATACAAATAATAAGTACATCATTTAATAAATTCTTTCGCGGTAATGCCCACGTATATGCATCTGTGTCCTACACGATAAATGGTGCTATTCAAATGTGAACACAATATAATATATACAGAGTATCTCTGCCATATTCATTTATCCTTGAGAGATTGTACAAAATATTAGTACAAAAGTATCAAGGATTTAATGAATTTTCTAATTGCACAGAAAGATATTCAATAATTATGATCTATAACTCTGTTTGCATACATTCGTAATTCAGCGATTAACAATACACAACAACATTACGAAAAATAGTTGTAAAAAAATTAATGTTGGACGGATCATTCGAACTGATTTTTGGGCGATTCGTATCTACTCACATTGTCATCGATTCGCCATCATTTTGAATCCTTAATACTTTTAATAATCTCCCATCGCTGCTATAATATTCGACAATGCTGTTCTTGCATCACTCTCCTCGAAGACGTTTAGGACCTCCATAGCTTTTTGCGAATGTTCCTTTTGCAGTTGTTTTGTTAATTCAACTCCAGGACCTGTCATGATTATGTCATGAACCTGAATCAGTAAAATGCCAAGAATATTAAAAGAATGTATTACACAGCATCGCTATAAAAAGTAATGTCTTCGAGAGAAATACTATTACCTTAGCATAATCCACGTTATGTACAGACTCAAGTCCCTTATCTATTTCTGTTAAAATCGTTGGATCATGCTCAATATGAAACATCACAGGTGCACAGCATAGGCTAAATGGTATAGAATGATCTTTGCCGATAAAAGGACCCAAATCTAAACACGCCTGTTAAAAAAGATATTTGTGTGTATTTATCTTGATCCTTAACCCGTATTTAATACCGAGTAAAAAACATCTAAATGTTCAATTATAACATATTGGTCTACCTGCCAAGCAAGGGCTAAATGCTTTCCAAATTTATACCCTTGTTCTTGCACCTCGTTATTATGTCCAGCTAGTTTCAATGTACCTTGACAGGATTTTCCAAGTAGCGCGCCTGCGCTTAACACATTTTGTAATGTCCATTCTTTCACGGCATAGCCATTACGATCTAGTGGCGGAATCGGGGGTAAAGGATTATTTTGACTATCGCGTCGTCCAATAAATTCTGCCTCAGCCAAGTCCCTCACAGCACTTGACATCAATTCTACTAACTATATAAGAATGTATTTATTTTTATTGAAAAAGCAAGAAAAATTATCAGTGATGATTTATCAAAGTGTTTGTTGCATACGTCCTGATTTCTGAGGGCTGCTAATTCGGCACAACTATTTCCTAGCAAGTAGTCACCACTTAATAAGGCTATTTTATTACCAAAAGTCATGTCGTTCATTTCCGAAGCCTCAGGGTATACCCCGGGATGTATATTCACTAAGCCTTTATGAACAACGTGACTGGTACGTATCATTTCTGTTACTTCTGCTAGAGCTCTTTGACTGAAATACCAAAAATCAGTATAAAAACTGTAAACTAATAACAAAATATATATACTAAGCGCTTAGTGATGAGATGACATCAGATTAAATACCTATAAAGAACACCTGCAGCTTTATCTTCCTCCATATCATCAACATTTAAATGTCCTGCTGCTTTCGATATTAGAAGTACAATAAGGCCCCAAGCCTGCATATTATTGCGGCCATTATAAATTAAACTTCTACAAATAATTATGCATATTATAATACAATTAACTAAATAGTTAAAAACACAAAAATATAATATTACATAATTAGCAGTAAGTTCTTACTTGGCAGTTTTCAACAGTGGATGATTAGATCCCACAAGCTTTCTCAAATGTAGTGCAACATTAGCAATTTCATCACTAAGAAGCCATCGTAAGCTAAGAAATGATGTCGGATAGCCCACAATCTTCTCAGCTTCAGAAACTGCACGGTTCCAATCTGGTTTCTGACTTGCAGCAACTTTAGTAGCAAAACTCCTGGTTGCACCAGGACAGAAGTCTCTTTTGTCTTTAATTAACAGATGATATTTATTGCATAACAAGCCAGAAATCGCGTTGCCTCCTCTCAACACCACGGAAAGCGATTTATTCAAAGCCATCGTTATTAATCAGGCGTTTTTTATATGCGGGAAAATTCTTTTCGCTAAGAGGCTAACATTGGTCGTGTTAATAACCGTGAATTCTCAAAGTACTGACGTCCTAAAACTTTCTCTTCTGTCCTGATTTCCTTATTATAACCTGCTTCCTCCCATAACATAGCTATTTCGTAGTACGTCACGAACACGTGGTAACACTATTAGAAAGCTGTCACTGCATTCTAAGCATACCGAAGATTCTTCGAAACTTAGGAATACATTGTTTTGTTATTAACAAGTTGATAAAAGATATTTCCTATCAGCCTGTAAACGGGCAGATGATACAATTTTAACTACTGATCGCTACACATGTCGCGCAACAGCCTAGAATAATTTTGAAGTTTGACGATAAAGTATTTCGACAAAGTTGCCAACATTACAAAAACATAGAAAATAAAATTCATTACAATCAAGGGTGTGTTCCGTAACACACTGTAAGCACTTACAGCATGGCGCTGATAAAGTATGCCGTGAAAGTATTCCGAAATGATGTGACGTAGTATGAAGCACTGGTAGCAGAAATGCCTAGATGAAGGCTTCCTTCAATCTCCAAGGCGTCTTAAAACTAGTATGCTGCAACGAATTTCGGAACACATTTTACAGTACTGCCAGTGTTTACAGTGTGTTATGGAACACACCCCAAATTAGCGCAGTTTTGTGCTGAACGCAGCCATTGTCAACGGTTTTCAAAGTGTTTGAATATCAGAATTTGGCACTTCGCCCTCTACGAGGGCATAAAGCCACAAGGAACAAGAAGAAGAAGAAGAAGAATGTCAGAAGTGAAGACTCACCACGTGAATCGTCTATCTGTATCAATCTGCATCCATTCATTTCAATTGCTTGGGAATAGAGAATATTGAAATTTTAGAATTCTACGTTTTATTGTAACAGTGACAAGTTTTATTTGACCGGTTCAATGAATAAAAGAGATAAAAGTGATGTGCTTCAGCACGATTCCCAAAGCGTTGAAAAAGATATTATTTTAATATCCGATAGTGAAGATGAGGATACTAGTCATTACTTCCAACAAGCACATGAACGATGGATTATCGACGGCAGTGATGAAAGTGCTCAAGATGATGGGAACAATATCGTCTGCGAGTTAGTAGATTAGACTTATTTTCTTGTTTATTACACAAAAGTTATGATCATGACATTAATTGTATACCATCAAATGTTTGTATAGAAATACTTCAAGGGATTCAGAGCTCGATGAAAGCTTTCCAAAATCAAGAAGTAACAATGGACGTGTAGTTAAACCATTATTTGATGACAAAAGTGATGAAGAAAATGTTAATTATACTGTAAGCGATAATGATAGTGTGCATGATGTTGAACATAACAATGGACATGAAATTAACAATGGTAATTAGAAACTTTTATTCTTATATATATATATATATTTTTAATATTATACAATTGCGTCTTTATTCATGATTCAGATTCTGACAAATTAAATATGCATGTTTTTGAAAATGAAGATAGTCCATCTAATGATAAGCCAAAGAAAAAAAATGATAGTGTATCCTCAAGCACTTCTGAAGACTCTTATAGTAAATCAGCATCAAATCTTAAGAAGGAAAGTCCAATACAAGATAAGTTTCCTGATCTTGCTATGTCATTTGCAAAAGAAGAAATTGGTGTTGGTAATGTAGATCCAGTTATTGCACAAAGAAGAGCAATGTTAGTTTGTAATATGGAACAAATCAAAAGTCAACTGACTAAATCCAAGGTAATGCCAACAATTAACATTTTGTTTTCTACAGTGTTTTGTGAAGCAACACATTTTCTTATAGTTACTATTGAGTGCTGCCAATCTTAATTTACTGCCTGATGGAGGAGAAAAGTTGCGGCAAAGTATATATTGTCAAGAAGAAAAATTGGCAAAACTAACAGATGAACTAAAGAATTTGCCTTTGACAAAACCAATGGCTCTTCCTCAGTCTGAAAGTATCGCAGGAACATCTAGCCAGATTCATTCTATAAAGAATTCCTTGAAACTGGAGGTATTACCTCCAACAGATAAACTACTTGGCAAAAAAGCTCAGGAAACTTTGGATCGAGAACGTACATTGACCATAGAAAGACTGGAAGATCTTCACGCATCCCTTGTACGACGTCCCACAGACGATCAGGCAGCGACTGATCCAAGAGGACTGAAAGTTTCTTTAATGTCTCATCAACAGCATGCTCTTGCTTGGCTTCTCTGGAGAGAGCAGCAAAAACCTGCTGGTGGAGTATTAGGTAAGAAAAAGTGTATTCAGAAGTATGGAATTCATAAGTAGTTGTCTCCTTTTGTATTCTTTACTGACCTCATTTTCTTATTTCTAAAAGCTGATGATATGGGTTTGGGCAAAACACTAACAATGATTGCATTAGTGATGGCATCAATGGCACAAGATAAACCTGATGATGATGATGACGATGATGATGATGATGACGATTATAAATCGATATGTAAGTAAAACGATAAAATATTCCTGCTGATAAATATATACCAAGGAATAATATTCATAAATTATAATTTTATCTGTGTAGTGCATAGAGGAGGAACACTTGTTGTTTGTCCACCTTCTTTGTTGTCGCAATGGGAGGGGGAGGTGAATAATCGGTGCAAGCGTGGAATCCTATCCGTAAAGATTTACCATGGAAACGATCGAGAAACTATTTCAAAACGACTGGCACGAAATGATATGGTTATAACCACTTATCACCTAGTTTCCAGAGAATATAAATCCCATTCTGTACTTTTTAAGGTAGATCGAGGATAGTGCTATATGTTACATTTTCTATTAAATTCAAAATACTAAATTAATATAATCCGTTTAATTTCAGATTAATTGGAAGAGAGTGATTCTTGACGAGGCACATGTAATAAGAAATCACAAAAGCCAAATATCAGAGTCTGTTTGTAATCTCGTAGCACGTAGGCGTTGGGCATTAACAGGGACACCGATTCAGAATAAAGAAACGGATATGTATGCTATCCTTAAATTTCTGAAGTGTTCTCCATTTGATGATCTGCGAGTATGGAAGCGCTGGGTGGACAATAAAAATGCAAGTGGACAACAAAGATTAGCCACGGTCATCAAAAGTTTAATGTTGCGTAGAACGAAGCAAGAGTTGCAAGCTAAAGGCTGCTTAAATAATTTGCCAGATAAATGTCTTGAATTGGTAGAAGTAAATCTCGATCCGGAAGAACAGTTGGTCTACGAAAAGGTTCTAGTATATTCAAGAACCCTTTTTGCACAGTTTCTTTCACAAAGAGCGGAAAAGGACCATACGAATGAACTAAATGCTGGGAAATATGATAAACCATACTTCATGTCAAAATGTAAGATATTTCCTATTTTAAAACATAGTCTTTTACAGACAATCGTTTCCAATAATTTTATAACTTTTGGAAGCGGGAATGGGAGGAATTTTTCAAAAAGAATATAATGATTTTAGAATTTATGTTGTATAGAAAAAAGCTTTATTTCTCCTCGATGCACTTGAAAAATGTAATAATGTATCTTTTTCTTAAGGAATAATTTTTGTCTAGAGATAAGAAAATAATCGTCATTTTTTAAAATTATAATGTATATGGGCTTTCAATTTTTTTTACAATTAAGACACGATTTAAATGTATGAAGAAAATTCTTTTTATGTATTTACATTTATGATTTTACTACAGGTCGCTGCTGACGTCGGTACCTTCGGGAAAAACCTCTCGATTGCGGCAAAATTAGACTTCGTAGATTAATCTGAAATAAATCGAATGGTTTCTTAATTAGTATAAGTGTGTCTATTGCCAGTAACTCCATCAGACGTTAAACACGAAAAGTTTTTACTTTAAACACCATAAACTGCGAATAAAGTTCATCGATAATCGGTAAACAATTTTTAACTGCGCACCATTGAAGCACTCGTTAACTTTATGGTTTGATAGCAGTTCCTGCAATAGCTACAGTGATACAGGTTGAGAATCCGTTCGATTTTTTGTTCCCTATCAACCTACGAGCTGTAATTTCGCCACCATTAAGATTTGTCTTCCCGAAGTCATCGACTGTAGCGTCCCTTGTAAAAAAATGAAATGCATATACATAAAAAGATTTCATATACTTCAGAAGTGTCTTTATGAATAGTAGTAAATTTCAAGTCTGTATGCGTATGGTACAGGTTTAACAAAAAAAATTCCAGGATTTACATTATTTTTCAAAGAATTACATTCATTTACTATGCTATTGGAATATGTTTTTTTTTTTAGCGAATGAAAATATAATAGCATGATTAAAAAAAAACTATCAATTCACTTGCTAGTTTCGCTTATGATTTCGCAATTTTTGTTTGGAAAGAAACAAAATTAAGGAGGAAATAGAACACGCTATGTGTATGGGTGAGTTGTCACACAAACGAGGTCCAAATCGAGGAAACTGCACTAAAAAATCTCGACAGAAGGCACTGTCAATTAATTTAATACACAAAATTGAATCCTTCTAATGAAACGTCTTTCCCTGTGGAGTTAAATTTGATTTTTCTCCGATTTGTGAGTTTTCTGTCGTTGCGATTATATCTCGGTATAGATACCCAATGCTATACTCTGACGTTGCACGCGGGTTGTGCAGATACTTGTCCGTGCACATCAGAGTACAGCATCGTGTATCTCGATATACAATTTACATCGAAAAACACTCGCAATGGCAGTAAACTCAGAGATCGTAGGTGCCTACGTTTTTGCCGACACCTCACTCTGATTGGCCAACTTTAAACGGCTCTAGCATGAAGACTAAGCATCTTTGAATAAAAAGAAGATAATTTTTGTGATCAGCGATGCTCCTTGAACATCGCGGTACCCCGTTAGTAAAGCAATTTAGGGACACCCTGTATGTTTCCTCAAAAATAATTTATAAACTTTAACTCCACAGGGAATGACGTTTTATTAGAAGGCTTCAATTTTGTGTACCAAATTAATTGACAGCGCTTTCTGTCCAGATTTTTGGGTGAAGTTTTCTTGTTTGCAGCCTCGTCCGTGTGACAATTCGGCACACACAAATTGCCTATTCCATTATGCTTAATTATAAGAGGGGAATGGAATATTATAAGAACTAGAATTAAATTTATAATTATTCACGTGATGCTACCGTACGATGCATTTAGATAATATGTATTGCATAAAAATATGACATTAGAATTGTGCGACAAATATGTTCCAGATTCATGATGAAGTAATTTGCTATACCGTGACAGATTGAATCAAACAATTTTATCTTACGTTTTGACATACTTTTTTCTCATATTTTTTTAGTGCAATTAATCAATGCAATGTCTAGTGGCATAAACTTCCTGATATTTACCTACCATATTTTAATTTTCTTATTTAATAAGAGACTTTAGCAAGACCATTGGCCTATAACAAGGGTAAACAAGCAATTATTATAAAATAAATTTTGTAATATTTTTTTAAAAGGTAAAACAACCCAATTCACAAAAGCACAAGATCAATTGCTCAGTCTTCATGCGGATGTTAAGGCTCACCAGATTTTGGTACTTTTATTAAGATTACGACAAGTTTGTTGTCATCCAGCTTTGATACATGCCATGTTAGATCAAGAGGATGTTGAGCAGAATGGTATCATTGATAATGATGGTGTGGATACGGATTTTCTTTCGAAAGTGAATAATCTTACGATAGATACTATGAATGATAGGGATGAGGATAAAGACAAAGAAGTTGGAGTTGACGAAAGAGTAGTACAAAACTTGCTTACTTCAAAAAATCCAGTTTTTAAACCAGAGCGTCAGAGTTCAAAGGTATAGTTTATCCAAATGTATTCAGTTGATTTTATATTGTGAATGTTTTTGTATGGTTCTAAATTCGTAGTTTTTACAGATGAGGAGTGTACTTACCATGGTACAAGAAATTATAAATAAAGGGGATAAAGTTATCGTTGTGTCACAATGGACTAGTATGTTGAATGTTATGGCAATGCATCTCAATAATTTAAAAGGGGCCACTTATAGAATATTCTGTGGATCTGTCGCTGTAAAAGATAGAGAGGTGCAAATAAATACTACGTTTTTAATTTCACATTAATATTGAATGTTGATTTACTTGTTTCTCTCTTTCTGAATGTCTAGGAAATAGTAAACGCCTTCAATGAGGAGAATGCTGATCCGAAAATTCTGTTGTTATCTCTCACT